TTGAATCTTCCCTCCTCCCTCGTCGCACTAAAGATCTTAGTACGTGGTAAGGTGAGAGGGGTGTAAGATTCAAATTTTCCCAGATAGGGAACCTTATCTTTTTTCGGCTCAGTGGCCGAGGGAGGTTTTGAGGCTTTCGCCTTCCCTTTCCTCGACCCTGGAACTTCGGCTGGCTGCCCTTTTGGCTTGGCAAGCCCTGATTGAGATTGCAGCTTTGCCTTGTTCCATTCTTCGGCTCGGATGAATTTATCCGAGGCATCGAGGGCCTCTTCCAAGGTCTGCGGAGGATGCATGACCATGAAATCCAGAAATTTTCCAGCTTGCAAGCCATTCCGTAGTGCGAATACGGCTAGGCTTTGGTCCAGACTTGTGATTCTGGAGGACTCGTTGCTGAAGCGAGTCAAGTAATCTCGGAGACTTTCGTCTTCCGCTTGCTGCAGGCCCATAAGCTCTGCAGTGGTTTTCTCTCGGCGGTTAGCCATGGAAAACTTGCTCTTGAACTTGTTGGCCAGATCATTCCAGCCTGTTATAGAGCCTTCCTTCATCCCTTTGGTGATCCATGACTGGGCAACACCTTTTAGGGTTGTAGGGAAGTATTTGCACCAGGTAGCTTCGGACCTGGGGTTAAGGTACATATGCCCCTCGTAAGAAGCTATGTGATCCTTCGGATCCGAAGTACCATCGTAAGTGATGTGTGCCGAAATTTTAACTGTCGGCACATGTTCCTCTAGTATCCACCTCTGGAAAGGCGAACTGGTAGGAACCATCACGGCCTTTCCCCTCTGCCTTTCCGAAGGAACCTCACTTCTCCCTCTTAGAGAGGTGGAAGTGAGGGGTGTCCCTCCGCGTGACAGTTTTGGGCGAGAGCCCTCGGGATAGGTGAGACGGCTATAAACGTCCTTCTCCCTTTCCCCTATGCGCTCGTAAACGCTTCGGCGAGAAGCGTTGTGGCTGCTTGGATTGTCCTTTGAGTTTCGGACTTGGGAATTTTCAAAGTGACCAGAGTCCCCTCGTCGTTCCCGTCCTGTCTTGGCCAGGCTTTCGGCTCCTCCGCTTACCTCTCCCTTGGAGAGTGGAATCCGTCCTTCCCCACCCGAGTCCAGTTTCCTTTTTCGGCTTTCCGGCTTCGGCGGGGGTGAAGGAGGAGTAGTATGCACGGATGGCAGGCGTCCGCCCAGGGCTTTCATGAATTCCATGCAGACAGCCACTGCCCTCGCCACCTCCTTAGTTGAAGGAACGGTGGGAGGGGTTGAATGCATGCTCTGTGGAGAGCTATCTTTATGAGCGTCGCTCTCTTTCGGCGAGTTCCTAGTTCGTTGAACTCGCCGAGAGGAAGATCCCTCGTGCAGATTTTCTCCCCTTGGAGAGTTAGAGGCCGATGGCTCAGGCGACGGTGAGGGTGTTCTACCGGTCCTCACCGTAATTAGACCCATCTTTTTTGCTTTTTTGGAGCTTTTGCCACTCTTAGTCATGTTTTGGGTTGGCTAAGATTGGTATGAGATTTTTGGCTGAATTTTTGTAAGAGTCCCCACAGACGGCGCCAAATTGTTTCGGTAAAAACAATGGGACCTTCGGCAGGTCCTTTGGATGAGTGGAGACGAAGCCCAATTCGAGTGATGACCGAACTGGGGATTTCCTGCACAGCTAAACAAACGTAAACTGGCCTCGGGGGTTGTGCCGAGGAAGGCTCCTCCGATGCCAAAGTCAGTACAATTGTCAAATGGTGAGAGAAAAGCTATGCAAGAGAGTTTAGTTGCTTGAGGAAATATGAGTGAATGAATGTGAATTTGCATAAGTGTGAGCTTTTATACCTTGCTCCAATTGAATGGAGTGGGCTTGAGGAGTCAAATGGGCTGCCATTTGACTGGGCTTTGTTGGCTTGACTTGGCACATGGGCCAGAGGATTGGACCTTGCCTATTGGGCTTTGTTTATTTTCATTTGTGGACTGGGCCCAAATACAAGTTATTTGGACCCCAAACAGATGATTTATTTAAGATTGAATTATTTAATATGAGAAAGATAATATAAAAAGTATGAGTAATTTAACATCTATCTTGTATCAATACACATAATTTCATATGTGTCAACGATGTGCAATATAATTTCATATATATATATATATATATATATATATATATATATATATATATATAATTTTAATATAACTCTTTATGTTATTTGAACACACTTATAAAAAATGTTAGATTCACCATTGTTTGAGCTACGTTTTAACGAAGGTTTTTTATTTTTATTTTTCATTAATGAAAACAGCGTATGATAGATAAACTAATAATTTGAAAGCCGTTAATGATATATATATATAATCCGAATTCCTTGGGGAACAAGACACAATCTCGAGAGATTTTTTATCTTATTAAGAGTATTCCTATTGAAATAGGATAGTTTAAAGGATTTTTTAACGTAAATAGACTAACCTTTGGCCGATTCTCCCAAAATGGACAAACCTATAAATCTGCCCATATTGGACAGAAGTTTGCCATTTTTTGCGCATAATGGACTGAGTTTACAGGCAACCGGTTATTCAAGTCAACATACCTCTAAAATAAAAAAAAAATTATAAAAAAAAAACTCTAACCCCTAATCCACTGCCAACCACTCCTTCCCTGACCCCATTGTCAGCCACTCCTCCTCCCTCCGTCTGACGGCTGCCAGCGCCCAACCCACCCCCGGCGCCGACGACGCCACCCTCGAACCCTAAACCACCTTCTCGAAACCACCCTCCTATACCACAATTCACCCCTCAATGAAGATTAATCTCATTTGTGTTCGAATTTCAATGTTCAAATACCTGTTTTGGTTGTTTTAAAGTGATTGATGGAGTGGAGTGGCGAGATGGTGGAGTTAAGACCTGAGAGGTGGTGTGGGTTTTCGGTGTAAGTGGTTGCTAAATGAAAGAGGTTTTTGGGATGTGGTGTCGAGCTAGTGGTGGGGATGATCGAGTTTCCGGTTAAGGGGTGGAGTTTATATGGGTCGCCGGAGTTGGGTTGCGAGGTCAGCTGGGGTTGGACAGCGCAAACGTGTGATTTTGTCGGGGGGAGGGGGGGTTATATGGTGGGTCAGGTGGTGTTCGGTGTATGGGGTCAAGTAGTGGCCAAGTGGTCTGGTGGGAGGGGGTATGTAGGGTTGGGAGTTCGTGGTGGAGGTTAGGTGGGGATCACGTGGTGGCTGTTATGGTGGTTATGGAGAGGCGGTGGTGGTGCTATGCTTGGAGGTGTTGCTGGCGTTTGGTGGTGATGTTGTGGTTGTTCTTTGTTGTGGGGGCTGGCTGGCAGTGGGGTGGTTTTGGTTTTTTTTTTTTTTTTTTGTAAAATTTATGAAAATTTAAAAATTAAAAAAAAATAAAAAAATAAAAACTTGACCAATAATTTAATGACAAGTGGACTTTTACCTGGTATAACAGGTATGGTGACCTGCTTGGTCCATTTTGGGAGAAAAAATGCAAACTTCTGTCTAATATGGGCAGATTTTTAGGTTTGTCCAATATGGGAGAACCGACCAAAGGTTTGTCTGTTTATGTTAAAAAATCCTAGTTTAAATTAGGAAAATATTACTTCCTCCGTTTTTTATTATTTGCAACAATTACTAAAAGTGGGTGTTTCATATTATTTGCAACAAGTTTTTTTTTTTCCTTTTATAGTAAGTTTAGTAATGGTAAAATTATCATATTACCCTTAAAAAAACTGATTATATTCTAACCTACAATCTAACTATGATTAATAACCCCAAAACCCCAATCAACCCTTGTATTTTCATTCTCACTTATTTCTCACCATCTCCTTCAACCATCACCTTCCACCAGTCCACCACCACCACCACTACTACCACCGTACCGATCTCCACTCTATCTACATCTACCCATAAATTCCCCCTCTCTTTGTTCATCTCCCCTCAAATTCAACCACCACCTTCGCCGGAAGTCGCCCTATAAGTGTCATGCTTGTCGTCATCGTCGTCTCCGCTTTCTCTCTCTTCCTTCTCCTTTTATTTCAGTCTTGTCACTAAAGCTCAAATTTGAAGGTTTTATGGTCAAATTTAACCATGAAAATTCTAGATCTAGAATTTTAATGGTTAAATTTGACCAAATAAAGTTTTAATTGATGATAGAGAAGGTAATGGTTTTTCATTTGTATCTTTGGGTTGGTTTTTTCAGGGGCGGGATTCATGGTGTTAGATTTTTCCGGTTGGAGGTGGTGGTTTTGGGGTGGGTTCGTCTAGTTTGTGGGTTTGGTTTCGTGGGGTGGCGTGGGTTTGGTTCGTGGTGGTGGCTGTGTGGGTTTGGTGTCGTGGGGTAGCGTGGGTCTGGTTCGTGGTGGTGGCTGGATGGCGCGGGTTGTTTTGCAGGGGTGGCGTGGGTTGGGTTCGTGGGGTGGCGTTGGTCTGGGTTTGTGGTGGTGGTGGTGACTGGGTTCGTCGCGGTGGTGTGGCTGGGTGGTGGTTTACGGTGGGCTCGGTGGTGGTGGTTTACGGTGGATTCGGTGGTGGTGGTGATTCTGGGTTTTAGTGGTTTGATAAATTTTTGTTTTTTATTTTTTAATTGGATTAGTGCTCAAGTACATGCCCTTGTATTTCAATAATCATGCTTAGGAACTTTTACCTTGGCCTCCGCAACCGGTACGGTTGTTGCAGATAATAAAAAACGGAGGTAGTATTTGAAATCCAAATAAACCGACTGCATGCATAATATCAATTACCAGTATAAAAAATTCAAAGCCATCGTATTAACAGCGGGAGTCAATTACAAATATAAATTTCTCCCCTTTTTCCCCTATTAATGATTAATTTTAAAAAAAAGGTTTGCTTATCAATGTCAAAACAGATTCCTTTGGCCACCAATTGATTTTTGCTTATCCATATAATAATTGAAAGAGCAAAAGAAAACACAAGGAGTAACAAATAAAGATCGCATGTGATGATATTTTTATCTAACATATTAGTGAAAGATATTATGATAAAAAAATTGAAACATCAACCGTGAATATGGAATAAGTAATTAAGTTGGGAGGAAGATAATAATATTATAAAACTATTAACAACAATCCAACTCTTGCTTCTAAAAAGAACGCCAACTGAAAAATTAATTGATAACAAGTCAAACAATGGAGAATGAATCAGGGGAGCAACATTCAAAATCCAAACAGATAAAAATGATAGTGAACAAAGGGGTTATCTTAGTCCACCCATCACTTAAATTAACACTAAGACATACACACAGGACACATCTGCTCAGGATAGCAATCCATTGGATTGGATGTGATTTACCTTCTATCACTCGAAACCTGCCTAAAAAGAAGATATATACCTATTCCCTTGATGTCCCCGGGATCCCTGAAATCATAAGCTAAGCATGTCCCAAGTCATTAATCCCGGCAATTTGTGTTGATACAGAGCTTTTCTCTCTCTTTGATCAACAAGGAGCTCTTCTGTTGCTTGAAAGAATCATTGATATTTCATGTCTTTTCAACTATGAAAGAATATAGCATGCCAACAAGCCCATCACAAGAGTCGCAGCTGCATGTTGGAACTTGGAAGTCATAGCAGCAAAGGATTCTTCTAAATCCTCAACTAAGGCAAAAGAATACTGTAACCTTTAAGGAATGACATTGCAATCACTTAAAAATTGATCCTCTCGGTTCAAAAACTTAAACCATAAACTTCTGTATTTAGGAATGCCTAGCTCAAGCCAAGGTTTCATGTTCCCATTATAATGCAACACTGAATTTTTTTTGATAAATTGTAGATTGAGGCCATAATCATGACCCAAACCTGACAAAACCCACGTATCATCAAGCGCATAAACCTGGTCCTGAAATGTAAGCAAGCTAGCCTTGGATGCAGTAGCTTCATGCTGTCTACTTTTCATTGTAAGCTGTAAATTGGAAAGGATCAGTAAGTAATTACTGGCTCAAAAACACAAGTATATAGCTGCAGATACGACGCTACCTCTTTTAATAAAGCTTTCCTACTATGGAACATGGAAGCCAAAAAGGTTGAACAAAAACAATGGAAGCGTGGAAATATTTCCAGGCATAGAGAGGAAAACTGGAAAAAGAATTCAACCCAATCCAGATTCCAGTGCACTACAAAGGAGCCTACTGCCTACCCCATGGAAATATGGAATGGCAAGTAGAGAAATCATACATACATAAAGAAAAAGTAGAATTTTTCAGTTAAACAAGGATGATAAGACAAGAAAGATGATTAGATAAAATGTCTCACAACAGGGAGACTCAAAATGAAAACCTAAAATCCCCTTCATTTCGGACCCACACAAAAAAGGAAGAGGGGCAAGCACATCCCCTTCATTTCGGACCCACACTAAAAAGGAAGAGGGGCAAGCACACCAGCACACATGCTTCTTTCATGCTCTAATACATACAAATGTCAATTTCAGATCAGAAGACCCCTATCCCAACAATGCTCAAACATAACAAAAGAAAGTGTTCAGGTAAAAGAAAATAAACTCACCTCTTCTACCATTCTTCTGAATGTTCCAGTAAGATTAAGGTCCCTCCACCTAGCCAAGTCAATCACGTTCAATCCAGACATCCAGGCACAAGAATTTCTGTTGAAATTGGTTCTACCTAGATAATTCTCCAGCTGACCCAACCTTACTGCACAATTCTCAGCAGCACCATTGACCATCCCTCCCATGTTGATTCTCCATAATGCTGACAAGTCTTGCTGAACAACAACATCATCATCAAGAACAACAATTTTGTCCAAATTTTTAAATATTTCCGGAAGGAAATAGTGTGCATGAGAAAATAGGGAAACATATTGCGTCTCATAATGCATCTTTGGAAACTTGTGAGATTGAAAGGTAATACGAGTTTCCTCGGGTAACGAGGAACCGGGTATTATATTGTACTCTTCAATATTCAATACTTGAATTGAGGCTTTCTTGAACATATTTCTGACAAACCATAGCTTCATAGCATAAAAATTCTGTCTGTCTGTCAGGACATGAAAAACCAGCTTCTTACTCTCCTGAAAAGAAGTCCGTTGTAAACATCAAAACAAATAAAAAAGATAGTACGATTTGAAATGAATAAAATAAACATATGAGAAGAGAAATTACTTTAGCATGTACAACTGTGGAATTAATTGCAATAGAAGATGCTAATATGTTATTGGAGAAGATAACATAATGATACAATTTTGGATCTATATAGTTCTCTGTCACTGAATCTTCCAGAACCTCAGAGGAAGTGTGGAAATACTCAACAGTTAATCTCATGGACAGGCAATGTAGAGATTTTGGCATTGTCTGGACAGCAAGTTGATAAAGAAAGGCACTTTGCTTCGTGTGGAAATTAGCTTCATCTTCAGTTAGATCAACAAGTTGCCTAAATTTCTTGTCCACATTGTTGCAATCCACAGGAACTGATTTGGCTCTAGCTATTGCAGTTTCCATTTTTCGCAGCTTATCCTCAACACTGATTGACACATACACCAAAATTAAATGTATTTCGTACATTTAATCTTATAAAGATGCTATCATAAGGATACAAAAGAGAAGAAAAAATATTTTGAGCAATCATTGCAGGCAACAGCGGAAAGGGGGTTGTGTGAAGGGAAGTAGAGGTAATTTAAGATGGTCAAATACTCACTGTAGGGGAAGATCAGCATCCGTAGAAGCTTCACTAAATATACGCTCAAAATCTTGTATATTTTGCTTCAACTCCCTTGACAAGTTCTCATGCACAGGAAGCTTGGCAATGCTCGGGAAGTATGCGCGAGCAACAAATAGCCGATCCTTTAACTTTTTCACCATAGAGTCCATCATATCTTCCTTATGCTCACGACGCCAAATGCAATAGCTCCCAAACCTCAATTCACATGGAATTTCACTTTCATCACCTTTTGCTAGCGGACGCACTTCAATGGGTTTGCTGATGTTGACACTCTGCTAAGATTTTTTTAATTAATATTGATGGCGGCTGGGTGACTACTATTAACCATTGAAAAAAATTCTACAAGAAAAACAAAAACTAATTAAATTAATACAAATTATGGAAAGTATATACAGATATTGGCATACTTTTCTTTCTAGAGAGGCTTCACGGACATCAGTCTCCACACGATGCCCTGTAGATAAACAAAAGGGTACATAATCTTTTTTCAAAAGAATTAAGGACTTTGACATCATATTAAAATATTTATATACCAGGGCTTCCTTTAGGTTGATAAACATGCATAGGAGCTTTGGTGATGGGTCGATTTAATCCATCTTGGGCAGATATTTCATGATCTTGTTTTCCAACACGCTCCTGATACTCGAAAAGTATATTGTAAGTGACATAGATTAAACACTAACCACAGACACAACAGGATAATTTATATCTTAGACTGGTACATTGCTTCACGTAAAGATCCACACCGAAACCCATATCCAGATCAAGAATTCACATATTGGCAATTAAAAGCACCTAACTCAAGTCAGCCATTCATACAAGACTGATTCACTTTGACCAACAAGTGGCATTTGCAGTTAGATTCTCTTAGACAAGCTTCATTGATATTAGCCCACAGCCCACTAAAAAAAGCACCAAGATCAAGTTGATTGATTGAATGCAGGATAGTAGTACTTCAACTAACAAGTGGAATTTGTAATTTCAGACAAGCTACATTAGCATTCTCAGACAAATTTCATTTGAATTTCGCCCAGAGACTTGCATCACTCAGACCAAGGACCCAGCAGAGGCAATGAAAAGTTCAGCTTGACAAAAGATAAACAAGACGCCCTAGGCAAAGAGTTTAATGAGTTCAAGTCCAAACAAACAATGTCCACAGAGCACATTCTTGAAGAAAGATGCTGATACTTCATAAAAGATTACAAATGAAGTAGATAAGAATCCTCCAAAATAATCAACGATCAGCAATTTGCCAATTTTTGAAAATGTAAGAAAGTGACATATCCTTAAGCAGCGCATTCCCAGCACCATGTAAACCACTTGACTTAAAAACGAGACTTAACTTGAGATTATCATTTGGATAAAGTAAATTCCTAAGATTTACCTACCACCCTCTGGCTTCATCCAGAGCTTTTGAGCAAACGTAATTCCTCTTATGAAATGGCTATACACTGATACACATTTACGATGGACAAGTTACTCCAATCCCCAGAAAAACCACCCTACATCCCGACAAATACTTCTCTACCCAAAAAGGCCACCTGTAAAAGTCGCTGTACATCCCACCATATATCTCCTCAATATCACCATATATTCTGGGATCAAACCTACCGAAGTTACTGAATTCCCTAACCCCTCCACCCCCATTGGGAGAACCACGGACCAAAAAGGCATATTAAAACTTGAAAGTAGTACGTTTGTCTCAAAGCATTGAATAGGGTTGGCAAAGAGCCCTATTGCACATGCCCCGAAATAACGAGGGCCCAAAAATAGGAAAGAGCCAATTTTTAATACGAAATATTTCAAATTATGCTTGATTATCATACATCAATAACAACCAAGTGCAGTTGGTACTCATATTTGCATTCCACGAACGAGGTAAGAGTTTGAATCCCACCAAAAGCTTCTTTCTTATTTCAATAGAAATAAATTATGACGTTCAAATTAAGTTAAAAATTACTTTTTCGGCCATAAAAAAAATACTTCCTCTGATTTTTTTAGTTGCATCACTTTGCAAATTGCGAATTCATAGGCGATATTTGGAGATGAGGGAGATAGAGAGAATCAGAGAATAAAAAAAAAATGGACCCATGTGATAGGAGAGAGATAGAGAGAGATGCAACTAATTTAACACTTCCGTTTTAGGAAAGTGATGCACTATGCAACTAAAAAGAAAAGGAGGAAATAGTAGGGTTATATTTTCCCATACTTCACATCCTCATTTTTTTTTTTAAATTTATTGCATATATTAAATATAATCCGTTGCTTCTTTCAAATATTAGGGGCCAATAAAATAATTTGCTAAGGCACCCCATAATTTTAGAACAGCACTGGTTTGTCTAATCTAACAAACTACACACATTCAACTTAAGAAGAGCCTTGCTTTTATCAAGAGGGCTGGCAGTAAAGATTAGTATGCTTGATCCACACTTATCAGATAAGATTAGATACAGGAAAAGGTATGTGAGAATAGAAGCAGTAGGTGAAGGCCTGACATCTATCTGATTAAGAAACCCTCCATTCTCATAACATCTGCAACCTACATCCACTATTTATTAAAATCAGATTAATTTTGCTTCTTGTAAACACATGTATTCTATTTCCGAGTAAAAAATTATTAAGAAATATTCATGAAAAGGTTTAATTAATTATAAGAAAATTAAAAGACCAAAACAGCATTGAGCACTCAAAATCCTCAAAGTGAAGAGGAATTACACTACCCACAAATGGTAAGAAAAAGAGACAGAAGTATACAGATAAACACTGCCCAATTCTCAAGAGGAAGTATACAGACAATATTAATCTCCTGCCCTTTACAATCCTCTTAATTCCATTTATCATCACATCCCTTATCCCATTACGTACAACAGCCACAAACCACTGCATTGCCTGGGAAAGTGGTTGCACCCTTACACAATTAAATCCAAGCTAAAATCATGAGCTGGGTAGTAGAACTTTAGGATCCAACTACAGATGTTAACATTCCCTCATATGATTGCTAAAACGCACAATTCAGGTAGCCTTTTAAGCCAAAACTCACTGCTTAGTAATTGGTATCCCCCCCTCCAGACTCCCTACCCCGGGCTTCAAACCAAAGAAAAAAAAAAAGAAACATAGCTTGTCCACAAGGAAATATCGTTAACTTACAAAAAACCATCATGAAGAGCTCTCGAAAAAGGCTTTTCTAAAGCTTTATTTACCTACCCTGAATACCCTCCTCCACTCCACACCCCTCAAATATAAATTTACAAAAAATATTGACCATACATACTGCCAAACAATTTTCATAAATGCAATGTCAAAGGATTTTCTTTGAGGTTCAATAAGTATCAGAGTAGTATAATTTTATATCAAAATAATTGATTAAAACATTACACCAGTCCAAATGCATAGAAGTGTACTGGACTTCGTCTACATATTTAGAACATTAGAGGCATTTTCACTTGACTTCAAAATAACTAAACACATTTGATTTCTTCAATCAATTTCACATGGCAAGTCTTACAAACTTTACTTATCAAATGATACACACCAACTTTAAGCAGTCTACTTGCTTGAAATTCAAAATCAGCACATAGACAAAAGAAACATAGCAGATGACTGACCCTAATAATCCAGTCCGTAGATTGTCTTTCTCAAGAGCTAAAGGAAATTTGCCATGGGTATCTAATAGTATCTCTTCTTCAATCCTACGAGGATGGGCTTCCCATTTATATAGCGAGATTCTGTGCTTGCAGAGTTGCAGCTATCTCTCACTGCCCTAACCTTAAGTCAGATAGGTGCAATTGCTTCTTAGGGGTGATCAAATTGATTTCTTTCCTTCTCTCTAGAGTTGGCTCACTTTTGTAGTCTCTCACTCCATTTCTCCCTCCGACCCTATCCTATCATAGTCATATTGGAAGCCAGCATCTACTTAACTTGAATAGGTTATGCCCAATTATCATCCATTGCCTATGAGCCATTGATTCATTCTTCAAAGGTGTACAACACAAGCATGTATTTCTCCCGCCTCTTAAAAGCTAATAATTTACTGCTTCAAATTCACCTCCGGATGAAGACTCCAAAACAAATCACTTCAAAGGTCTTCAATAATTAACAGTTTAAAGAGCATGTAATGTAAGAAAGTCTGATCCAAAACTTGGCAGTAAAACCCAAAAAAAAAAAAAAAATTGAAACTAGGAGTTCCATTCTCATAATATCTCAAGATTCACTTGTAGACCTCTTAAGCACCTTAATTAATCATGTAGCAGAAGTCCCTTTTTTATTGATTGCACAGGTAGCGAGGTGACTCAAATAAAAGAAGTAGCAACTATGGTGATCACATCACACCTCCCCTCTTCCCCCCCCCTCCTCCCCCCCACAACAAAACAAGAAAAAGACAAGAGGATCACATTGAACATATGAAAAGTAAAGACAATAAAAATATGAAGCACCCTAGCCATTGCAAAGCATTTCACTTAAAGAATCACTATGTTGCACATTGTAATGGAAACCAAAAGGTATTAGTGCTATCTCCAATTTAAAAATGCAAGATGAGTCTTAACCATTAAAACATTGTGTAATGAAGTAATGAACCTTTGGAAGTGTAGGTGCCAATCTCTCTATAAGATCTTCGATATGTCTTGTCTCTTCATGCTGCAAAAAGTAACACCAAATACTACATAAAACCAGGTGTTCATATATGTATTGAGGAGCATAATATTATAAATGATGAGAAATTAAGTATGCCAATAGAGCTACAGGAAAAACAATTATAAGGCATGCAGTAGGGCAGTAAACTTCAATCAGAAGATTCCAGAAAAAACAAGCCATAGACTAAGATCTATATATGTCATTCTTACTAGAACTATAAAATTTGAAAAAAAGAAATTAAAAAGAGGTTCTCCTTGATAATTGCAAAATGTAAAGGTTATCAAACTTCAGCAAGCAACCTATCTAAATTAGAGGTAAAATAAAATTGGAGATAATATGTTGTAGCTTAAATGGATATTAAAAAATAACGCCTGATACAACTGCGGCCCTCCTTGATATAGAATGATTAACCAAACTACATGTAAGAGTTAAACTGTACTAAACTTGATTCAATAGAAATGTATGGTATAATTGACTAGTAGATACTAGCTATTGGTTATTATAAAGTGTAAAATTTGAGAGCATATGCCATCTGATTTGTTCCAAAGTCAACTTATTGAACCCAAGAAGCTCTTCCAATAAATTCATTACCAGATAACTCAAAAGAGTTACTTAGGTTGATCAAACAACTAGCCTCCAAGTGAGCCATAAACCCTGTCATTTGTCAAACAATCTGAACTCCGAAGTGCAAACATAACTACAAGAATGGATGTTTTTATAGTGTTCAAAACTCCTTAGGGCCTAGAGGTTGTTGAGAGTACTGAGTACAAACAAGCTAGAAGTAAACTTTATTAAAAAAAAAAACAAAAACAAAACAAAACTTGCGGTTTTATTAATGGTGTATGTAGGTAAAGACGGTTAATTGCGGTTCAACTGGTGAAACACATGGAATATATATTATATACCTGATCCATGGTGTGGTTGGGGTTGGGGTTGGGGTTGGGGTTGTGGGATAGATAAGCTCCAAGAGCAACACCATCATGCTGCAAACAACAATTGATTAGCATTAGTATTAGTATTAGTATGAGCCCTTAATTAATAAAATTAAAAGTAGTTTGTTTGTTCGTTGTTATTACCTGAGAAGAAGAAGACTGTTGTTGAGACGGAAATTCTGCAAAGAGAAAGATGAGCAGATTAATCAAAGGTAGGATCTGAAGTGATTGAAGGCAGAGGCAGATCTAAGTTTGGAAAACGAACCAGATCCAGAAAGAGAAGCAGAAGAAGAGTGGAAAGCATTGTGAAAACCGAGGAGAAACACGAGAGGAACGAGCATTGATAGAATGACAAGGCCCATTACTGCTATTACGAACCCTTTCCATCGTCGCTTCGTCGAATGCGACACCGCTGCTCCATTTGCGCCACCGCCTTTCATCGGAATATCTGATTGATATCAGAACACACCCATTCCCACCGCCACCGCCGCCGCACTCGCCACTTTCAATCACTCGTGTGGGTGGCGTAATCTGGAGCTCCAATTTAATTTAATTTACTATAAATAAATAAAACCCACTCTTTTTTATTTTACTTACTAAATACAGTAGCAGTACGAGTAGTTATTAATAATAAACCCGGATTTCTTCTTATGCTCTACCGACTGCAGGAATATGATATGGGATCACCCTCACGCTTCTACTTCCGCTATATACCACACTACCCACACCCAATTGCCAATTTCTTTCTTTCCTTTCCTTTTTATGGACTTAACTAACTCACTCTCCCTATTCCTAAGGTTTCCAAACTACTACTGAGTACTTTTGTGTTTACACATTGGACAATGTTTCCGGGTTATTGAAATACAAAATGAGTTGTTTTTTGATACCCAACCCATTTATCAATTTAGCAACTCATGTGAAATCTAATTTCTCAATGGTGAGACTCTCTAAAGTATACTAATTGTATGTTTTTCAAAAAAAAAAAAAAAATCAAAACTTAAATAAATTACAAAATATATTATTATATTGATAAGGGCCCATACTTTTTGTCAAATGAGACTCAAATTTGAGTATTGATAAGTGGTTTATTTGACCACTTATTGTGGTGATTTTAACCCGGTTTTGTAATCTTTTCCCCTCTTTCTAACCCCCTTTAATTCATTTTAAAACAGAGAGCAGTAGCATAGTTCTTGGCAACTTTCTCTTAGTTTGGAACAATCATCTTTGGTATTTTAGGTTAGAAATCCTCAAATTAATCATTGTAATAGCAAGTTTCAAAGATTATTCTCAAGATTCAACATTTGAAGCTTCAATTAGTAACTTCTTTCACTTTTCTCTATTTAATTTCTGATTTCATTTTGTTATTGCATGTCATTTAAATCTCTTTAGTTCTTGATAATTTGTTGTTGGATGTTAGTTCTATCATTAGTTAATCACTTCCCCCCAATTATGGAACTAGTTAGAACCCTAATCTTGGTTTGCATGTCACTTGAAATGAGTTATGAGTAGTCCTCTTTGCTAGGGGTTGGGTGAAGCTCAACCTAATGGTTAGTTAAGTAAATTTGGGAGAAATATTGATGTTTGATTTGTGATTAAATTGATTGTATGAGATTGCTTGTTAGTTCTTCATGATAGGATTAGCTACCCTTGAATTAGGAGCTTCATGGCATGTTATGCTTAGTTTGACTTGGAAATGTAGATTAAGTATGTCATTACTTATTGCAATTTGATTACGTATCTCTTATCGCTAAACTAATGAGGGATCTAAGTTTAGTAATGTGAGTTGTTTTCCTAATTGCATGAGGTTGGTCTTACAAATAGTCCTTGCTATTTCTTGTCTCTTTTACTCCCAATTTGTCTAATTGTCATGGTTGAGTGGATGTCATTCCCTAGAGCTTTTAATTACTTGATTTAGAACAATAGTTTGCTGTCTACTTGACGAACACCCCTTTCAACAAAAGACTTCGAATTAGCTTGAGTGTTAAGATCTTTAGCAATTATACCCTGTTCCTTGTGGACCGAACTTTTACTTATCATTGTGCTTGGTTTGTGAGGTGTTTGCTTATAAATGTGTTTGAATGGGTGTGGAATGTGCGACCGTTCTAACGCCCATCAGGTATCTAAACTTAGCAACTTTCTTTTGGAGTTGCTAAGTTTAGACACCAACTTATTGGTATACTTTATAAAAAATACTCTCTCTCTTTCTCCTAAAAAAACTTCCTCAAGTCTCGCCATTGAAGATGGTCTTTAGATTACCAATCTACTCCGTATGTTTTCAGATCAAACCATATTTTGGGTTATTGTATCAAAACAAATATACTGACTAGTATTTTCTTTTTTCATTAACTACTCCCTCAAATCTTGAATGATAGGCCACCTCATAATATTCAAACTTTGTTACTAACTTATAAACTTAAGTGACTCCTTATTATTAATCGTTGAAAGTACGGAGTATCGACGTATAAATCTATATTTAAAAAGTATTAAAAAGCATTCCTGAGCAAGTTTATCATGTGTTGCTTACTGATTTCCTCATTAATAGGGGACTTCTTTCATTACAGCCTTTACAGGCACTGAGGCACATGAGATGATCCTAACTAGTCATAGTCGTACAATAAAACAACAAAGTACATATCCAGGTAGTTCCTATTGCATTTTCATTTTAATTACTGAGTTTTAAGAGATATGCACAATTAAATAACAACAGCACATAGTCAACCTTTTTCTAACTTCACTCCATCTGAATGAAAATTTGGGGTACATTTGTTCAATCAAAGAATCACAAATCACATACATCTCCCACAAAGCTCATTCTCGTTTAATTTCAGCCTCATTGCATTGACACTATCCTAAAATTAGAAATTGATACAAAGCTAGCTTACTTAATGATCAGGAACCTTTCACCCACAATTGTAAGCGAGGACATCCACAAACCGCAATAGCATAAAATTTTATAGAATTGCACGTATATAAACAACTAGGGACCCTCTCGCATATCTGGCTTCCTCTTTGCCTGTTGTGCAAGTCGAACATCTCTCTCCCTTTCAAATTCCCGGTAATCTGCCCTATTTAGGAAGGAGACCTTGTCTAAATATTGATTTGAACTTTTCTTGTAGGCATCTAACTCTTCCTCATAATCCTTATTTTCTCCTTTGAATTCTCCCCAGTCCTTTTTGGTCTTATCAAGAAGACTAAGCTTTGGTTTCTTCTTTATTTGTTCCAGTACAGAATCCACAGCAGAAGATGGCCCTGCTTCTACCTTAGCCCTTTCAGCTGCTTCTTTTGAGCTGGGGTCAACCATCTTCTTCACCTCAATCTCTTCACCAGCAAAGTCTAGAAACTCAGTGACCTGAAATAGAACAAAAAGTTCACAGCTCAAGATCCAACAGCCCTTATTGTCCAATAAAATATGCTCCAAACATTTAACTGTAATGTAAATTTCCCATCAACGACCAACTGAAAAAAAAAAGTGCTCTAAGAAGCTGAAAATTTCAAGCGTAAAGCACAAATAGTCTGCATTTTATGAAAAGAAAACACAATAGCCAGAAAGATTCCCTCTTTCCTGCTATCCCCCCCCCCCCCCCAAAAAAAAAAAAAAAAAAAAAAAAAAGAAAAGGGCCTAGGAGAACTAATACAGTACAATAGAAATGATGACACAAAATACTAAATCAAACATGAGAAAAAGAAAAGGTAACCAGTTATCATGTAATTACTAATTACCTCAACTTTTCCCCTGTTTGATGCAGAGGCAGCAACAGCAGCATCTCTGGCAGCAGCAAGAGCAGTAGCAGCAAGCTTCTTGGCCTCATCACTGGTTCCATTGTGTGCACTCTGTGCAGTAGCGGAGCGCTTCCTTTCTGAGGATGCCTTATTAGCCTCTTCTGGTTTTTTTGGTCCCAAACCCAATAATGACATCCAATTCTACAAAGAAGACCAAAATAATAAGGTATTAATCAGTTTATTCCCTGAAGATTTAAGATCAGCACTACCAAAAACACCATACATTGGAAGCTTTATCTGTCTGTGGAGTTTTATTTCCATTTGGAGTACGTTTGTTTACAATGGAGTTTAGTGTATTCGCAGATACTCCTTTATTCATCTTCTGCCACACAGCATCCACTCGAGCTTTGATTTCTAGCAAAATGATACAGGTTTATCAAGATCTCTAGTAAATAAAAAAACCAACCTAAGGAATGCAGGCATATAGTCTTACCATGATCTACTGGCTCAGCTTGTGGAGCAGAAACTGAAGCCGTTTCGTTTTTTGATTCAACGGGAATTGCTTCCATTTCCTGCATCATCTAAAGGACATCATCAATCTGAACAGCGGCATAGTTGTTCAAATGATGACCCAATGCAAGCAACAAATTTGCACACAACAATGGTTTGCTAGCCCAATACAATAAATTTCAAGAATCAACCAAATCTTAATCATCTTTGGTATCTGTGACTAAGAACAAAGCCACATTATTTCCAAAATACATGAAAAAATAGAAACTCACAATGTAACCCAAATCCTTAGCTCCTTGCGTAGCCCTACCCAAAATACAACAATTACAACAAATAAAGAAAGCTCAGTCATTATGCATCACAACAGAAAAAGAAAAATCAAAATCCATGAATAGTACACATGGTTAAAGTAAATATCGAAATCAAGAAAAGGCTGAGGAATGCAGTATGTGTCTCTTGACAACACCAAATCTTGCTAGTGGGCACTAGACCAACACAGTGAGACATCATCAAAATAATTTAAGAAATCGTTACACCCCACCATTACCACCTTCCCTCAAGACCCGAAGAAAAACGCAGATTAATAAAAAATAAAAAATAAATAAAAAAAATAAAAAAAATAAAAAAAGTAGAAATGGAGAAAAAGCAGCAACATTGATGCAAAACTCAAAGACATTCTTTGTAAGAAAGATGAAGAAGCTGTTGATTACTAGTAGCAGAATCTGAAAAGGCCATACCCAGATCAACAAAGTTCCCTTTTTTCCTCTCAAAATCTCAACTATCATGACAAATTCAGATTTTATTTTGATCCCAGGCCCGTTCCGTCCTAACATTCAAGGATTTTGCAATAAAATTTGACTCATTTATCAAACTAAATTCTTCGAGTAGTAATTAAATTTTAATTAATACAGTACATAGTTCTATAATCAATCCAACATAAAAGAACCCTAAATTGAGAAAAACATAACGATTACACTAGATTGCGAAACTGGTATACGATGATTAAGAAAATTGTAATACCTGAATAGCTGCTTCAATGGAAGAGAGAAACCTCACAAGCCCTTCAATGGTGGAGAGATAGACAGGGAAGCACTTCAAAAGCTCCAATATATAATTTTTGTTTTTTTTTTTTTTTTTTTTTTTGTCAATACTCCGTTTCTAACGTCAACTCGTCAAGTAATACTCCGTTTTTTTGTAAGGCAATTGTATACTCTGTTTTAAATTTTAATAACTTCTTATCATGAAAATTTTAATTACTTACTGTAGTACTTATGAATATCAACTAACAAAAAAGAATATCAGCTAATTACCGTAAAAAAAGATAAATAAAATAATTACTCCGTGTTTATCTAATACCTATTTCGTAAATACCGGATTAAAAAAACTGTAAGGGGTTGATGTTTGGCTAGAATTCTGTCTTTCTCATTGAAAAAAAATTCAAGTGACTAGACATGCTTTGAATTATTTGAATTTGAAACTTTCATTCTTTTTACATTGCATCATTTGAAATCGTGTTTATTTATGTTAGTGGGCTATTATGCCTATTGATCAATATATAATTTTGACATTACTACTAACCATACTTGGATTTGTAATGTGCAATCAGTATTAACACCTAGAAGTTCAGTTATAAAGTGTACGTGCTGCCAATGTTTGTCATGCATTATTAAGCAATAAGCATGAAATTAACAATTTGTTTGGAGTTTAAGACAGGAAAAGAGAGGGAAAGGGGAAGGGGGGGAAGGTGGAGACATGGAGCTCATTTCCCCTTCAAGTCTCTTCAATAACAGAAGCTAACATGCGACAATTAACAAGTATATTGTATAGCCAGACATATATCTTCATTTCATTGTACTTTTGGAAGAAAAATAACAGTCGCTGTCCAATAACTTCCAGCAGCTCAGGCAACTCCGGAAGAGGAAACAAAACACAAACAATCTTCTCCCTATCAAATAACTTAAGAGCAGATATGCAATTTGTGATCTTAAAACTAGATTTAAAAAGTTTTCCTACTACTGTATACATCATTAGCTTCATCATGTTTCCCCTCTACGTATATAACTGAACACTATACAGCACATGTTTGGCACTTGGCATAGCTGACTAATTGACCACACGCCAAACATGGAAGCCAGAAGCCTCATGAACTGGAGGATTAACTCTGGTAGACTGATAACATAATATCAATATGAAGACAAGCCACTTAAGGATCCTTTGTAATAGGCAGGGTCAAGCAGCACAGGAAACCCTTGGCTTAGGCTCCTAATAATCCAGAAGAGTAATCAGCTTAGCACCTTCTCATAATAGTAGCAACATTTCTTCCAATCTCTTCTTTTGTTTGCTCTGAGACAGGAACTTCTCCAATGTACATGTCAAAAAATGCTCCTGCACAGAAAATTTCCACGTAAGAACCTCAAACATGATTGCCACACTTTCTGATTTGGGGGAACAAAACGAGGAATGATGCATAATAGATGGAATATTGCACCAGTTCTAGTTCAGTCAAAGCAAGCACCAAGTACTGGTAATCATCTTTCATGGTCTGACCCAAACCCCCATTCTTTTAAACAAATGTGAGCTGGGTGGAATCTTCACAGAAGGACTTGCATGATTGACGGAGGTAGCAACCACCCCCCCCCCCCCCAAACACTTGAACTCACATGTAATATGTATATAATTTGATTTGCACTTAACAAAAAGGAAAGGCAAGGGATACAGAAGAAACCACTTACTACACAACTCCCTACTTTGCACTGCACCAATTTGGTTGCCTCCAACTGCATAACAATATCGCCAGTATTAGTCATAAAATATTTTTCAACATAGCTGGATCCAACACAATTACTCACTTTCGGTAATCAGATGCCCGTCAGCAGTTCTTCTGAAGTCAATTATAGTACCCTGAGGTATAAACTGGAAAAATAAGACGTGAAGAAATCTAAACATAAAAAAATCTCAATCCTTTATGGCTACTTACTGCTGGCAATGGAATATCTTTTGTGAAACAAGAACCAAATGTTGAGATGCATTTGAAATCAGTCTCCGGATTTGTCTGTTAAGCATGGACAGAAGAAAAGCAAAAATCAATACAGGCAGTTAAGAATAAAGGGTAGTATAAAGGAATACGCATAAGGAATGATGAATTCATTACCTTAGCTAAACGAGCCCGAAGAGATTTCTCAATAGCACTGCAAGGCGGAGGGTATAGAAGTAAAATGAGACCAGGTAAGATTAAACAAACAGCTAATTCAACTCATCGGTAAGCATGTCACAGACTAAGCAAGTTGGATTAAAGTGTCAAACAGAATGCGCTAGCAGGCAATTTTAACATTTTTCCTGTCTTAGGTGTGGGTTGTTGGCAAGACAGGTTAAGATGATTGCTTCAAGATAAAGAAATAAAGTGATGGACTTGAGCAGCCAAGCATAGCCTGATTTTAGGTCAGGCAAATTTGACCATGGGCGGATTGAAGAAGCAACAAGCTACCAATGAGATAAATGGGCCACTCAGGGGATAGAGAAAAGGTCATTTTCCCATCTGGTAAGTAGACAATGATGACAAATAAAAGTCTGGGACAATGGCCAGGCATTATGATCTTTAAAAAGCATATCTTGAGTAAGTTTGTTTTTCATTGCAGATAGAGGTTAAATGGGAAGAAGAATGTATAGCAACTAGATGTGCAAATTAACCCCCCACCCATTATCTATTCTGCTAATGCAAGGTTTAAGGATATCTAGATGTATGCAACCTTTTCTATCAGTCAGACTTTGTTAATAAAAATATATATTTCAATCAACAAATGAAAAATGAAGTAAAGTAAATGGAAGATTTTCCATCATAAATTAAGGGAAAAATAATGACTCAATGCGTCAAGAATAAACAATATGTAACAATCCATGAAGATGAGTCCAAAGAGAGCCATATAAATCACTCTGTTTCATATGATAACCAAAGAAGAATCCTGAACACGAAAAAATTAATCATACCTATCCACCAAAAAAAAAAAAAAAAAAAAAAATTATATAAAAAAAAAAAAAAAAAGGAACCTGCCACAAAATCTTATGCCCTTTTCCCTAACAAAGTTCATTATTGCCAAAAAAATCTTATTTGTTGCTGACCAGGGAGGCCCTAAGAGTAAAAGGGGCAATCCAGTGTATCCCAATTAAACCATATTACCTCAGCCAATCCAAAACACATATAATTCCATGTCTCCTCAGTAACAAGACAGTGATTGCAGGAAGGAAATCTTAACTTCAATACTTTTGTTAGTCATACTATCGTGTTTCCTTTTTTGTTTTTGCTCTTCTTTTTAAAAGATGTAACATAACAAAGGGGATAAGATGGAAGAAATCAAAAATATTATCCAAATCTCAATTCTTCAGCAGGTAAGCTGAGTGCAGCACCATCCAATTGACCAATTCAAGTTCAAACTCATTTCTTGAGCAGTAAAAAGTCACAAAAAAGACCTGTTCAAACTAAAATATGGTAAAGTGAAAGACCCTAGCTTCCAACAAATTCTCTTTTTGCTAGGTAATTTAGGCCCCATTCTTAGTGCCAGTCTGACCTATCCTCGGAATGCAAAGCCCATGATTAACGTGAACCAGGCAAAAGACACATACTTTCATGGTCCCAACCCTCATCCCAGGGTTAGACATCCAAATTAAACTATATTGTCTGCATGAAAAGGAGGTAAATGCCAAAAGGCCACTGATTGCTTCTATAAAACATACCCTATCCTCCAACTGATGTACTAGAGTAACCCATGGACAGCTTCAATCACTAAGTAAAGGAGGCCTCATCTATCACTTCATTTCTTATAGACACTTGGGCTTTATAAATAGTGCAAATCAAAGAATGTCAAAGGTCATGATTAGTAAGTGTAATACACTAAAAAGTGACTCATGAACATTAATATATATGAGCACCTCAATCTTAGGTTTTGCTGACTTGTCCAACGAGCTTTTCAACATTATTCCACCACAGCATTTATTCCCAAGTTCAAGTTGTTCACAATCATACTAGCTCAGTGACTCAGTCCATAGCAACAACCTATACGATAAGAAGTTCACAACTTTTAAACATAACTCTAGCTTTCTCTTCAGAACTTCATTTATTCTACGCCAACCAAATACACTAAATAATGAAAGCTGCATGAAATCCTCAAGCAATATGACATCCTACTAACAGGTCTAACACCTATGACCCTTTACCAAAACCAATACTCTTATGAATAGAAACTCAAAACATGTTTGGAAAGAAAACTGAGTTTCAGTGTACATATAACAAATAAGGGGAAAAACAAAAGAGATACCCAATTACCCACTGTCTCCCATCCACCCGGGGCCCGGGCCCAATAATACTGGGAGAGTTTGCACTGTGAGAGACCCATTAACGTGGCTCAATTCACGATGATGTATTGAACAACCGTCACATGATAGATCAACCCATTATAGTTTGTTTAATTCATTTACAAATTACATAACTGCAAATAACAAGCCCTGACCTGAACAATCATAAGAAGCTCCCAGCTGCCACAACTAAACCCATGAGAGTTTGCTCATGAGCTATTCAAGACCAACTCAATTGGCTAGAGTGTTGATCATCTAGCTAGGATCCAGTGTTAACTTCAAATAGCTCATATAGGTAACACCTGTCAACCAATACTCAACTCACCAAGCATGATCAAGCTCTTTTGACTTTTTGAATACATGTTTCAGGCTATGTATTCTTAAGTAGTAAGTCACTAGATAAATACATTTAAGACAAATCAACTTAGCACTAAATTGACCCAGTTATTAAGACCCAGAAAGTTTAATAGGCCACATTCATATCATGATGTAGTCTGGCTCCTTAGCAACGATAGCATATCCTGTCATGACACCTGCGATAAAATCTAAATGCAGACATTTATGGCTACCTTACAAAGAACTATCTACATGACCGCTAGTAAGTGATAATGTTATGATGAAACATATATTACTTATGGTCCCCAAAAGACAACAACGTGAAACAAATCTCTACATACCCAACAAAGCCTCAACATCCCTGGTGCATCAATGATGCCAAACCCCAATTCAACATCAAAAACAAAAAAACAGACCAAACCTCAAACACATTTGAATTTTATACATAAATAATATGAGAAGATAAATTCTAGAATCTAAGACATTAAATAATCTTACTCTTTGACTGTATTAACTTTCATGCCACTGTAGTTAACCACAAATCGAACAGTCATTCCAATATCTTCCCTGCATCATTCACACAACTTATGTTAGCATATATTGATTATTTGAGTGCCATTAAAGAGAAAGGGACAAATTTTAATAACAATAAAGTTATGATCATCAACTAAGAATGGCAGTGAGTAAATAATGTACAAGCCAATCAACAGAACAGATAATATGGTGAGAAAAGAGTGTGTTCCCCAACTGTAATGGAGCCTTTGCTTCCATATATACTCTATAGTAACTGCTCTAAATTACTGGAGTACATTAAATACATGTATTATGCCTTTGCTTCATCTTATTAGTCATATACAATCACAGTGCTCATAAAGCCCCTCTTACTACTAGATTGGAAAACTTAAATCAGTAGAGCTGCTAGAGCCTGATCAAGAAAATGTTTTCTCATAAAAAGAAAAATGGTAATGATAATAATATGAAGATTTAACATTATACTTCCTGGACATAATTCACACCGTTCAATATAATGCCTTATGAAGTTCCCACCTACAACTGGGGTTTTTTTACAGGAAAAGCATTAACCCGTTGCATTCCATAATTGAAAAATTGCCTACTAAAGCTCATTCATTCCAAATACAAATTTTTTAAAAAAGTAATACAAGGTTATACAGTGCTATTATGACTTTAGCCTCATGCACAAAAGTGTAGGACAAAAAAAGGGTGAAGTATTGATTACACAAATAAGGATAAGAAGTACACCAACATCTCAGCACACAAACCTCGACATAGAGGCAGTACTTCCGATTTTTAAAAAAATAAGCAAACAACTCAGGATTATAAAATAAGAGCAAAAGCTTGCATGCACAATATGCATTAGCAAAACAATACTTATACCTAAGAAGGTCTGCATAGAAATCATTGCGTTCTTTGAGTTCTACTTCAGGAACAGAACCATATTTCGAGCCCAATTTCTGACAGAGAGAAGAAGGATGGACATCTAAAAAGAAAGAGAGAAGGAAATTATGGAGCTTGATCATAGCAGACAATCATTTTTAAAAAAATAAATAAATAAAACAACAGTACTATAAAGTATAAACAAAGCAGCATTAGATGTGAGAGTACTTACAAAAACCAAAAGCATAGACCTTCAGCGATTTAATTCTGATGAGAGTCATGATCCTAGATCCCGTTCCAACAAGCACCTATCAGGCATAGCAGGATAGTGAGTTCCTAGGGCTCCAAAGTATTCACAAAGCTGTCATATGGTTCCTACATCAAGCCTTATTTCTGGATACAATCATAGAATGAGCCAACTAGGCAAAAGAGCAGAAGAAAAGAAACAAATATGAGATCGGCAAAGCAGACCCTCTTCTAGATGATCCTGTATACAGTTGCTAACACTTGAACCTCCCCAGACCCTGCCAATATCTACAGCCCCTACTGAATCATCATAGTTATTGCACATAAAAGTGGAGACAAAGAAAGACATACTTCTTGCATAACTTGACATGATCATGTCAAAGGGAGAATCAAACATGGTTTGCTTGTGGAAGACACATAATTTGCACAGGATAGCAAGTGTAACAGCCTCATTCCATTGTCTGTTTGGGCAAGACACACGATTTGAATAGTGTGGCTCATAGGTACAGGTATATTTGAAAAAATAACTAAATAAGTTCAATGCCAAACACCGAGATTCTTCTTTTGCTCTTAAAGAATAAACAATCAAAGCAATGTGTCATAATCACACAACAATGACCTGGCCTATAGATACATGAACTTACTGGGATTAAAAATAAAAAAAAAATTGTGTCAGAGACAAAAAAATCTTCCATAAGCCGTAAACTCCCAATACAATGAGTTCTCACTTCTCAGTACACTACAAGTAATTTTTCACCTATAATCCTCTCGTCCTCAGCATCACCACAATGTGCCGTCACCTCAGATGCCTCATACACTGATAAAACATCATCTCCTAGTACATTGTCATATTCTCATCTCCATTACTATCACAACATTCTGTCTGTTCACACCCCCAACAATCCTATCAAAATACGCAACTCCCCTTTCACAAAGTCGTGATCAACTCAGCCAACCCCATTCGCATCTTGCACAAGTCCAAGATTACCAAACCGTGATATCATAAGAGACAAAATCCTTCTTCAAAATACTGATAAAAATTGTTAAACCCTTGTTTTACTCCATATCTCACCTCAGCAAAAAAGACAATAAATAACACACACACACGAAGGATTCTAAAGCACAGGTTTATAAAGGATACACTAGATAGGCCTTAAGGGGTGAAAAGGATGCATCAGAAATTCCTGGGGCCTAAAATATACTGGAAATAATGTGATTTATTTCCTAAATTAATCTAGTGTAGGAGCTAAAAGGGAGCACAAATGACTCCAAAGCACTCAAGGGAAAGACATCAGCTTTCGCATACAAATAAATAGATAAAAAGAAAAAACCTTGTGTTCACAGCAAGTAGTTTTCCCATACAATGGTAAAAAATAGAAATTCATGTTAAATCCACAGTCTATTTCAAAGTAGAGACTAAGAATCCTGAGACTAAAAGTAGAAGTACCTCTGATGACAAATTGGACTGAGTATCCTTGGCTATTATGCTATTTAAAACACCAGGAAACTGAATGCCAGTTTTGGGTTCAATTGTATCTCTCAACCACTTAAATTCAGGAAACGCATGACCAACACAATCTCGATGATGCTGAACATTGCAGGGGTTTTTGTCCATGGATCCCAACATTTGTGCATCAGCATCCTCAGGTGGTATAGCTAACATGCTAGGAGTACTGAAAATAGGACGCAAGTAACAAGTGAAAAAGAAGTGGAAAACTTAACATCAAGCAAATGCAATAATTTGATATATACAGGCAGATAATGAACGAATCACTTACAAGTGATCAAGTGGGGGTATGAGGGCAGCAGCTAGCGAGAGCACAGGAAATGGTTTAACATCATCAGCTGCTGCTCTAAGCAAATGTCTGAGAGAAAAAGCTGAAATCTTATGACCAAATAGCGCGGCAAAAGATTCATGTGGGAATCTGAAGCAGGATGAAGTACCCGGCAGACGACGATAAGGCTTAGTAGAGGGGGCAATGTGTTTGGGTTGTCCAAAAGACGAAGTTGAATTTGAAGGTTTGGGAAGATTAGTATCAGAAAATTTGGTTTGAATTTGTGAAGAGCCGGAAAAGAAAAGGACGAAAGCACCGGCAAACTTAGAGAAGCAGGTGAAGGCTTCTCTGAGTGCAACAGAAGCAGGAGCCAAAAGGTATTTAGAGTGATGAAGAGAGTTGTCAACAATTGAAAGAAGGGGATCATTCAATAGCATATTATAAGGGTCACCACCTCCATCAAGATCCATCATCATTACCAATCAAATTAATGGTTTATGAAAAGGGTGTTTAGATTAAATTCCAAGCAATGGCAACATATTAATTGATTTGTGTTCAATCTCAAACCTGGGAATCAAATGCATTATAAATATCAGAAAATACATCAATGAAACAAGATTGATTAAGACAGATGAACTGAAAGTATGAAACCATATAAGAAGTAGTCATAATATAATGTTGAAAATGGGAAAATAGAAGATACCCAGAAAATGCATTTTTTGTAAGGAATAGTATAAACCAAACAAGAGAATAATCGTAAACTAAGTACCGCAAGTAAAGCAATGGTTAATGAGATAAAGAGGAAAATGAAAAGAAAACCTTGAAAAACAAAGAGTGAAAATAGAAGAAAGAAACCTTGAGAAAATGGAGGAAGGAAATGCGAAATGAGAATATGCCTACGAGAAATATCAATCGCTGTCGCTTCTCCCAGAGGCCAGGCAATAAGACCAAATACAATATCAATTCAACAACTTTCTTTTGTTATTCGTCCCTTTCTCCACGGAACTTTTTGTTTTCTTTTCCCGATTTGGCGCTTTTTGCAATGCCCACAAATAACATAAGCTTGTTTTTGACCCCGGCCAACCCCACAACCTCCTTACTTGATCAATCAATATTGCTCCGGTGTTAACCAATTACTCGAATCGACCCAACTTACCATCAACCCTATCATATTAGACTCAACCATATACAATTTAACTTACAATAAATATAATTTAATGTCAACCCATACCCGATCACATCTAAGTCTAAGACACTATGACATGCAATAAACATGAATTCAACCTAAGATATAACCAACCATGACCTAACTTATTTCGCCTCGTGACCCGATTTCACCTTACTTGCTTTTTTAGTTTTTTATATAATTTGTTTTATATGCAAATAATTTTTTATACTACTATGACCTAATTATATGACTTGTTTTAATCTAACTCGAGATTAGCTTGAGATCAAATTATTATATCAATATTTATTTTGACTAATTTATATTTCTCATATATTAACTTGTTTTACCAATTCAAATTATTTTAACTTAAAGTGGAGCTTGTTAAACGCCCAATCTAACTAATTTACAGTCATATTATTTCATTTCAACCCAACCTGATAAAACTTAACTCAATCGTCAAATTCAACTCGTGCAACTAGGTTGAGTGTTTGACAATTGAAACCCCCCAACTCCGATCCCTACTATACATGCCCCCACTTGCCGAGTTTATAACAACTCCATACATAAAAAAAAATTATCTTACTTGAAAAAGAAAAAAATATGATTTGTTATGACGTGCTGACCTACCTAAAAGGTGATTTTGCTAGAGGATGGGTGCAAATTTCCACCATCAATAATCAATTAAGCAATTGCTAATTGATTTTTGATATCTGTAATTTGGGGCAAGAATCAAATCGTAACGTCATAGACGTTTTTCAAGTAGTAGCGTATGTGGACATTTTTTCAAGACGTAACATACGTGGACGTCTTTCAAGGCATAATTAACCTCCAGTAGTCACTATCATTTGAGATTTCTCCATAGAGAGTGATTAAATAAGGAGTAGTACGTAGTTGTTGTTTTTCATCATGTTCTCCCTCTCGATCTGTTTCATATTCCATCTTTAACAAAACATCAGCAGCAGTAGTGGCGGCATCACACCCAACACTAACAACGACAAAGATCGAGTATCCAATTTAATCAATGACACTTTGCTAATTAAGCTAGTTACGTATCACAAAATCACAATGTTGGTAGTTTTTGAATTTGCTTATCTTAATTATTAATTGGTCAGGCGGTGCTAGGCTGTTATGGCATCTATGTTTTAAGGGTATATCATAACAATTGGAGGCTTACAGCTTGGGGCATACATTTAATTTGTTTGTAGCATTATTGCATTACATTCAAGCTAAAGTTCTTTGCTTCAAGTATACTCATTCAAATGAAATTGAGATGAATTGTTAGTTTGGAATTTCAATATTAGAAAAGCTTGGGTGCTTTCGTCTAAAGACCCTAGTATACGTACAATTTGTTGTGTTTATCCAAAGAGTGGTTCATTCTTGTTTAACATAATTGTTTTCGTACATTTATTCTTCCCAATTGGAGTGTCAGTGGGAGATTATTGAAGCTGCTAACATTATTATAGATCAATCCTTTACATTGATTTTGCTTTCTTCTTGTTGTGGACCATGTTCGGTCCAACAAGAACTGCTTAAATACAAGTAAAATGTACAGGATACAAGTTTAAGTAGGTGGGAATTGAACTTCACTTTTGGGAAGTGCAAGTTTGCCCATACAAGCTTAATAGTTAGACCGGTATGTGGTTTACATATGAAAGAGTGTGGAAAGGTGGACTTGTTCACTTCTACAGAACTTAGTTATGTAAGAATCACAGTAATAAGGAGCTACAAATTTAATTTCATGGAATGAAGTAAACCAACCGAATACGGAGTATTAGCACAGCTTCCATTGTACATAAACATCCGAGGACTTTTTTGTGGTGTGCCCTGAATGCTAGATAGTCAAGCCCAAGCCCAGGCGCGGCTGGAGATACTCAAAAGAGTTAATTGGAAGAATGGAACAGAGTGGAGAGGAATAGAGGATTACCTCTCAGATCGATTTTGGCTATTGTTGTTGTTTATTGTGACCTTGCAATAAAAAGGGAGGGTCTTGTTATCTTGTATCATATTTTATGTCAGTTGAGTTTGAATTGCTCTGATAATTTTGAGTGGACTAGTCTAGTTTACTTGGTTTGCATTCTATGCTTCACTTGCACGGATGAAACTGCAAAGGTGTTTAGTGTGTTGGTTCAACTTATCCATCCATCAACCATCAACATCCACCTTTGGCAACAATATATCGCATTAACGCAACTAATGTCTTTCAACAAACAATATATGTTGTGTCATTGCATGTGTGTAAATACCTATGTCATTAAAATCCCGATTTAAATCTTAGAATCTTACGATTTTATGATTTATATATGTTATACGATTCGATTTACGATTCTACCCAATTTTACATATTTCTCTTAACTAGAGAAATCCTTACAAGTTTAAAACATCCCTGCAAAGTTATTATGTATTTGTGTTGTCAATTATTGGTTGTTTAATGGGTAAACAACTATTTTCTATTAATACTTAGGTTTCAAACTCATAATTTGAATATATTTCATTAAATTTGGATAGGACGTCTTGATTATGCATGCTCGTAAAATCTTACGATTCTACAATTTGATTTTACGATTTGATTATGATAGCCCCTTCCGATTCAAAGCGGAATTCCGATTTTGATAACTTTACTAAATACCTTAACTCCTGTCTCGTTGTGCTATGTCATAATTGTTTGATGTTGTATTGTACGGAGTACATAGTAGTACGTAGTGAATACGAGGGTTTATTAGATACTCAAATTTTTTAAAAAAAATATTACCCCTGTGATCAAGCATAAAATATATAACCCTCCCCCCTTCTCTTGGATTTTTTCCCAAATTGAGTTTTATTGGGAAATTATTTACCAAATTGGTCTCGTGGCAAAAGTATTTCCCGAACTAAACTTCTGGGGTGAAACGCGTTTACACCCAGTTTTTTTTTAAAAAAAATTCAAGAAGTAAAACGCTGTCTCAGACAGCGTTTTACTTTGTTTGACTTTTTTTGGCCAAACTTCGTATTTCATAATTTATTTAAAAAGAAAAATACCACAATACTTAAAAACGCTGCCTCAGGCAGCGTTTATACGTTTAAATGAAACGCTGCCTGAGGCAGCGTTTATTGTTCAGGAATAAAATGCAGCCATAAACGCTGCCTGAGGCAGCGTTTCTTGCGGGGCATAAACCCAGTTTCTGGGCGTTTTTCACACTCTCACAACCAAATTTTTCACTCTTTCTCGCACTAAAGCAACCCTCATTCTCACAAACACCGAAACAACCGCCGTTGTCGCCGCCCCTTCCGCCGCTGCCGCCGGTCCTACAACTATCATTCTCACTCACTCACTCTCTAATTCCAGGTAAACCCTAAATTCGTAGTGTAATTTTACATTGAATATTTGGTAGTTTTTGTATGTTGTAGCAAAATGTGATGTAATGTAGAGTGTATTAATTTGTTGCTAATTAGTAATGAAAATGTGAGAAATTGTTGATAATTGTTGATGATAATATAGTACATTATTGAAGAACAATGTAGACGAAATTGTTGATTGCAATGTGATAGTTGGTGATGAAAATAGTTTGTTGATAGTTGTATGCAGTACGAAGAGTTATTTAAATTGGTGATGAAAATGTTGATAGTGAGAATGGGCTTGTCTCGTTGTTGTCATATGAGCTAAACATGTAGGTTCTTCAAATTTGATATAACTTTCCATTATCAAAGCTATGTATGATGTGCATTGTTAAATTAGGGGTTTTTTACGTTGTTTTAGAATTCGATTATCCTTAAATGTGTTATGGTTGTTATGTAGAATATGGCTTCGCAAAATGTAGTGTTGTTATGCCGGTGGGGAGGTGAAATTATGTGCGATGGATCAAATGTTGAGTACAGTGGAGGGAATATGGAACTTATAACACTTGAACCGAACATGACTGTGAATGATCTGATGAATGAGGTTCACAGTAGTATCGGCTCAAACCCAATGAATGTTGAACTGAACCTTAAAATGAGGTGTGAGACTGGGCATGGGGTTCAAGTGTTACCTGTCTCCACAAACAAACATTTAAAAGCTTTGAGAAGCATTGTTACAATGAAGGGTGTTCCCAATGAGATATATGTAGAAACAGTGCCTATATGTACCCAACAAAGTACTTGGGCAGAACAACATCCTACATATGTCTCTGATTACAACACCGCGTCCTTCCAAGGCCCTTCAAACCACATTCCATCGAATGAATATGGGATGGGAACTTTCAGTCGCTTGCTGCATGATGATCAATTTCAGATGTCGTTTAGTCCTCATATAGCATCACCTGCACATGCGGGGGGCTGTGTGACAATGTTCGCCCAATCCGGTCCTTCGACATCAAACACCGTGGCTCCGTCACCGATGCGAGATGAGGTTCAAGAATCACCGTCTAGTTTGATAATGACTTGACGTTATTTATGCTTTACCTTTTATTTTATTTTTAAAACAGCTATGGGCTTGGGAGCACATCCATGTAGGGAGACCAGGTAGGCCTGTTGTTCACCGTCCAGGGCAGCTGGACCAGGACGATCAGTACGCAGCATACGATGCTCCCCCGCTCCCTGAACCCGATCAGGCATACGGTTGTAGGTTCGTAACATTACACTTGTGTACTCAAATTTTGTTATAATTAGCTAGTACAACTTCTTAAATAATTTGTTGTCACAGGTGGGTGGTTCCCAGACTGACACATGCGCATACAACGAGAGGTCTTCTCTACTACTGTGACGCCCTCAACCGACTCACGGATGAACAGGTGGAATCTTGCACTAAATTTGTAATCGTTTGTTTACTCTTTATACTGTTTATTGGCATTGCCCTAACCTATTTACGTTATATCCTTGTTGCAGATGACATGGGATCCCTATTCTGCTGTGTTGGTAGAGGCCATGTCGGAACACTTGCTCGAGCATCGTGCTGAGTGGCTTGCCAGGACCCCCATGATCTGTTTCGAGGTCGTGAAGAGCCACCTACCGGACCGAGTGTTGCGACAGTTCGGACTTCACCAGCCTATCCCCATGCCCCTGTGACATTAGTATTTGCCTCCACGGCATTGACCGTCGTGGAAAGTTGGATACAAACTGGGCACTGGAGCATCATCAATTCATTGAGCTTTGGGACCAGCGGTTGGAGTCCATCGTTGACGGTCACCTGTTTCAGGGTGTTATGGATCCGCGTGATCCTTACATGGTATGGTACAGGCAGATTACACGCCTTTTCATCAACCCTACCTACACCCCACCGTCCACGCACTACCATCCAGCTTATGATGTTATCAGCGGACTTGTGAGTTTTTTCAGTTTCTTGTTTTCCAAAATTATTTGAAATTCTATATCATATTACTAAGTCATGGATGATTACTGCAGGCGGGGGATATGGGTGCGATGGTTGATGCACTTTCAGATGCCTTAGCAGCCGTACCCACCAGAGCCCAGGTTGAGCGGGTGCGAGATATGGGCATACATAGCTTGCAGAGATATGGCCATGGCCATCTCGTCCACCCCAGGGACGATCATGACCCCAACTCCTTCCATTCACAGTTCGACTTCGGACAGAGTAGTGGTGGAGGTCATACTTCGGGCTCTACACAGGCAGAGGCTTACTTCATCCATAACACCGCTCCCGGCCACAGCCAGGATGACTCATCATCTCGCCAGCTGACTCCTCAACCGTCCCGAGACCCATTCACCACCATTCAGCATTACACGAGGCGTCCGAGGCGTGTTCGTAGACGGACGGAGGACACACAGAATGGAGATCAGTTAACTCCAATACATGAGTCCGGATAGTATTAGTTAGTTGATCCTTTTGTGGTACTCAGATATTTAACAATGTTGTATATAACGCTTACATTATTAATACAAGAAATGTTTTCTAAATGACTCTCTGTACAATTTGAAGTTTATTTCCCTTATTTGTCCGAATTTGACTTTTGTTGGTGAAACTATATCTTTTATCTCCGTTATATGTATCAAGCAGCATATATTTGGTCTCCTGCACTTAAAGTGCTGTTTCACGATGGTTATCATGCTGTTGGGGTTGTTTCATGGTTGTCGGTGGTGGTCGATAGTGGTGGAAAGGTTGGGGCTGGTGGTGGGAATGCTCTTGCCTTGTTTAGGGTGTTTTATGGTAGTTTATGGGTGGTTGAGAGTGGCGTCCGGTGGTGGTGGGGGAGGTGGTTGATGGTGGTGGGGGTGGTGGTTAATGATGGGGGTGGTGGGAATGTCCTTGCGTTGTTTAGGATGTTTTGCATTGCATAGGGGTGGTCGAGAGTGGCGGCCGGTGGTGGTGGGGGAGGTGGTTGATGGTGGTGGGGGTGGTGGTTGATGGTGGGGCTGAGGCTGATGCTGCTGGGTGAGGGTGATGTGTAGGGGCAGCAGCAGATTACAGAAACTGCTGGTGATGCAGTCTAGCAGATGCTGCTGGTGATGCAGTCTAGCAGAAAAACGCTGCCCCAGGCAGCGTTTTATGCTTTAACGTAAAACGCTGACTGAGGCAGCGTTTTAAAGCCCATATACATATTCCAGTATAATTTGGCAAAATATACTTAGTATATTTTGCCAAAATACATATCAACAGGTCAACAAGGTAAAACGCTGTCTGAGACAGCGTTTTACTTCTTGAATTTTTTTTAAAAAAAAACTGGGTGTAAAACGCTGTCCGAGACAGCGTTTCACCCCAGAAGCTTAATTTGGGAAATATTTTTGCCACGAGACCAATTTGGTAAATAATTTACCAATAAAGCTCAATTTGGGGGAAAAAATCCCCTTCTTTTAGCGAGGAAGTACCCCTACTAGTTAGAGGCTTACTAGTTACTTTTAACCAAAGAGACTAGTTTGAAGATTCTGGAGGCCTCTAAACTTATCCAAGAGGATTTTTAGTTCAACTCATGCTTAAAAGTTAGTTATCTTACGTTGTCTTGTTGCTCTAGATAGGTAGTATCATTCTAAGGATAAGTATCACCAATGATAATTAAATTATTGTTTTGATTGTTTTCCTACTCGTGATGTTGACACCATTAGTGTTTTAACAAGTTATAGTGACTGGAAATTAATCTTTTAAATTGACATAATTTTGTTCCTAACAAGTATTTTTAGAGGAAAAGCAATATATTCATTATGGCAATACTCAATTCTTCAAAAGATCTTATTAGCCAAAACTTTATAAGAGATAATTCAATTCATATTAAGAAGCTAGATGAAAGTTAAAAGGGTAACAGAACATCACTCTCAATAAACAATATAGTACAAATTATATGCAACAAAGCACACATTGCAATGTACTCTAAGAAATAAGAATACACATTATGTAATGTTACTATGGTTATGGTCCACATTCCTTCACAATGTACAAGTATAATCTTTTTTCTAAAAAAAAAGTATATAGAAGCCGTAATTATTGTAACAATAATGTAATAAGGAAGTTCATATTCATTTTATATTATATTGCTGCAAACTTAGTTATATGAATTGACAAATTGATAACAGAATTGAAGTAGAAAGATGAAGATTGGTTGCATTTATCACGGAAGAAAAATTGAAATGGTAATTGTTTAGTGTACAAGAGTTGACCAAAGCATTAGTAGCTTATGAAGGGATGAATGAGTCATGACTGTGGAATTAGATGAAGAAAGTCGTCGACTAAATACTAAACTCTAATTTATTTGAATAATAAGTATTATTTGGTCTGTGGGTTGGTGTCGTTTTCTGGTCTCGAAGAATATGTAAAACCTATTTTTTTATGAAGACGCCCCACACGACACGCTCTTCCTCCTTCGAGGGGTCCAACTTCAATACTAATCTACATTATTATTTATTCACACCATAATCTTGGATTAGGAGCAACAACTGTTAAAGCACTATCCCTTAATTATAATTACTACCTCCGATTACTTTTATATGCAACTTTGGAATATTTTATATCTCTTAAATAATACTCTAAAGTTGCATATAAAAGTAATCAGAGGTAGTACAATTATTGAGATTGACATTATTATTTTACCCCTTTCCCCTCTTTTATGTCTTATTTTGACACTTTTAATAGGTCTATATATGTCTTATTATTTAGTCGTCTAATCTAATCCATGTTGATTTTGACCACTGTTATACTCAAGATTTTGTTTTTTTTTTTTTTTTTTTTTTTGAGAACAAGATTTTGTTATATTATGAAAGCTCATTTTTAAAAAAAAAAATGAATCAGCACATCTCAAAATCTCATTTTAAAGTAATTAATTAAGATGTCTTATTTTTCTTTATGTTTATCCATTAAATATTACCTTATTAAGTCATTTTCATAAATATTATTCCATGATCATTCTCTACTATAAATTCAACCCTATATACATATAAAAATAAAAAAAATAAATAAAAGAGGGACAAAATCACGAAACTTACTCTTTACAACTCTTATTATTAAAGTAGTTTGTAAACAATCTCCCCCAAGATGTAACAAGAAGTGTAATAAAGACAAGAAAATGAAAGCAAAAAACAGATTATAGCCTTGCTTAGAAGGCAAAACTCCAAACAGATTTAACTAATCACCAAGTAATTTTTTGTGTATTTTTGTAAAAAAAAAAAAAAAAAAAAAAAAAAAAAAAAAAAAAAAGTTTAGGTCCTACTCCTATGAGAGAGGAAAGGAAAGGAAAGGCGGCTAGAACGTGGAAAAAGGTAAGAGGCGCAGTATCGCAGGCGCAGAAAACAAACACTAAACTAATTAAGCTACGGACTACGGATTACTTACCCAACCACTCCTATTCTATTTTATGATTTTGAAATTTTCAACCTCTGCTCTTTTCTTTCAAATTCACAAAACAGATTTCTGGCTTCATATCACTATCTATCCATTTCTTCATTTTATAACTTTGAGATCGGCAATTCCTGTGATTAATAGGAGAGAGAGAGAAAGAAGAAATGGTCCCAAAAGACACTGTTACCTTCAACGTTGGCGGTAAAATCTTCCAAACTACTTCTACTACGCTTGCTAATGCCGGCCGCAATTCCTTTTTCGGCGCTCTCTTTGATGATCATTGGAATCTCAATTTCAATTCTCAATCCAAACCCGATATCTTCATTGATCGGAACCCCCAATGCTTCCGTGTCCTCCTCGACCTTCTCCGTACCGGTGAGCTCTACATCCCCCCTAATCTCCCGGAGAAGCTTCTTTTCAGGGAGGCCCAATTCTACGGCCTCTCTGACCATGTCCGCGCCGCTAAGTGGGGCCCCTTCGATGGAAACTGCCTCCGTCTCACCACCTCTGTCACCGGCCGTGCTCCCGGTGATGGCACTGCCATTCGTGCTGGCCCTGACGGAGGCTGCTGTGTGGCTCATGGCTGCATGGTCCATGTCTATGATTGGTCCCTTCAGGAGCACCCTCCCCTGCATTTGGACTACCAGATTGTCAACGACGTTGGTTGGTTGGATGCTAACCATGTTGTCGTCAGCGCTTGTGAGAGGCTCGGTCGTGGAGACGGTGGTATGGGACTCTTCAACGCCTCTAACGGAGAGCTACGTCATAAATTTCAAGTCCAACATGATAATCAAGTCAAGAGCTTTACTGCAGGTGCCTTGGCTTTCACCCCTTCTGACTCTAACTCCAAAATGATTTACTCCAGCTGCAAGGGCAGAAGCAATGAGTACGGCATTGGGGTGTGGGACCAGGAGACGGGCCAGCAGGTCGATTTCTTCTACGAGCCTTTAGGATGGTCTCTTGGGGATGCAGACAGGCTGCAGTGGCTCCCGGCCTCCAACTGCCTCCTGGTGGCCACCCTTTTTCCTAGGAAGGACAACTGTTACATCAGCTTGTTGGATTTCAGAGCCAAGTCTATGGTCTGGTCCTGGTCCGACATTGGAGCTTCTGGCCCAAATCCAATTTTGGTTGATGACAAGCGTGTCAGAGATGCCATCGCCATGGAGGATGCGAGCTCCATATGTGTTGTCAACGAGTTCGAGGACTTGGGGTTTATAGACCTCAGAAGCTGTGCTTCCAGTGTCAGGTGGAGCTCTAGGAGTCGCTTGGTTAATGTTATGAAAGCTAATAAGAGGATGCAACTTGCAGAGGATGAGCCTTGCTACCCTAAGCTCGCCTTTCACAACTCCCAGCTATTCTCTTCCATGAATGATTCCATTTCTGTATTCTCAGGCCCTGATTGGGTGTTAACCTCCAGGCTTAGGCGTGGATATGGGGGTCCTATTTGCGACTTCTCCATCGCTGGGGATCGACTCTTTGCCCTTCACAGTGAAGAAAATGTCTTCGATGTCTGGGAGGCCCCTCCTTCCCCTCCCACTTTCTAATACAGAGTACTCCATGATTATTATACTAACATACAATTGTAAGTGATTTGTGTCTGTATATAAAAGTATGGATCTATAGTGCCGTTCAAAAACATCTGTAACTTGATTGAGCAGCTCGTTGCTGAGTCTATACAGCCGCTGCTTGTAGTTTAAGGTAAACTAGAAGATATGACATAAGGCCTGTTTCTACAAATTCTATGACTTTTTATAGGGAGATTTCAATAGCAATTCATACTATAATTTCAGAGTTCTGTTAGCAAACACATGCTGCTTATGTGCTACTATTGAACATAATTTGTTCATGAAATACGAGCCTATTTTTTAAACATTTGTTCAACCAATTCATGAGCAGTGTATGTTTATTGATTAAGCTACTGTTAAGTTTCTACCTAATGGGGAAAAAAGACTGAAAACAGCATATTAGGTGCTTCAAATCAAGTTTGTTGCCGAGCTGTCGTTATCTGCAGTAACAATAGACAGTAATTACAACTGATAATTGCCTTTAAGATAAGCAAACAATGGCAAACTTCTGGCTAATCCGTCTAGGGACCTTACATTACAATTCCTAATGATGTTCTAGTTTTGCTTCCATTTAAAGCGAACACCTTAGTTTGTCTCACCAAATCATTGCGGATATTAAGGGGGTAGTTAACGTTAGCCAATTTTACGTTAACTATAAAGACTATTGTAGAGTGAGAAAATGTACCTGGTGGTTAGAGCGACAAAAGATGGACCCCTCCTGAGTCCTGATTCCACAATTTAGACAAGTCATTTTTATTTGTAAATATTCATCTGCTTGTTATTTTTATGCCTAATGCTACAATGCTATGTTATTTAGACAAGGTGAAGCTTAATAAACTAGTTCTATCTGCTTGAAGACATGAATGAGTTGAAACAAAACACAGATCACTAAGATGAGTGGGTTTTTAGACTACTCAGGTTGCTTTTTAGTTCTTTTTTTATTTTATTTTTTAAAATCTAAGGGTACTTTTATTTTGGGTAGTTTCCCAGCCAGATGGGGGTATCTTGAGGTTTTTTTTCATTGAATTTTTGCAGTCAAAACCTCAGTCTTAGTGGATTGTCTCTATTACATAAGTTAATTCCTAACTTTTTCTCCTATCTTATATTTCTATATAGGCATAAGTAAGCAGTTCTACTCTTAATGTATTAAACCAAAACCTCATTAATTGATCTTTACGGTGCTTCCTCTCTATCAATTCGGCACATTAAATGTGGGTGTATATAATATACAGGGTTTTTCCAGTAAAACTTCGTAGTGGTGCCTTAAACCTTATTCAATATAAACAGTGTTGAAATGAATTCGATGACTTTATAAGCAACAACCCTTATGTATAACAAGACAGCATAAACCTTAAATAAGACATCAAATGTAGAGTTGTGAAATCGGGTGCACAGGTTGTCAGGTCGAATCAGATTGGGTCGCTCTAGCATTCTAGGTCAGCTTTTCTGTGCCAGTTCGAATTCAAGTTCAGGTCACTTTGGGTTTGGTTGGATAGTTCTTGTGTCAGGTCGTTGCCGTTGTTTTATCCCAGTCGGCTTAAGGGCCTCTAAATTCCCCCACGCATCTCTTTCTGCAGAGATGAATGCAAGCTTGTGGGTAGAGGATACTGGATGTCTGTTCAAGCACTATCTTGCTTGGTTCAATTTGTCAACTAGGAATCCATGACGTAGTCATGAGCTCATGGATACAATGCAAAAAACATCTTGTGTTCCTTGCTTTTGATAAGCACTTTACCTAAATATAACCACATGAATACATGAAGCTAACAGAATAGGACAAACCAGCCTCTGCCTTCCAATCTACTAACCTCATTCAGCAAATGCAGCAGTCTGTACCTCACATGATGCTAGAAAAGTTGGAAAGTTAAACTTGACTACGTTTTTAACTCAGCACGAATGCATGCAGAAGTAATCTATGGTCCTTTACTTCAAAATAGTAACTTTTGGCAACTAAGGAATACAGGAACATATGATTTTACTTCAGTAAGATTCCTAGCTGTCAGTAAATAATCTTCTGATTGAAATATTTAGCTACAAGGTATTCTGGCGCTCCGACAGAGTGGAGGACAGCCAACATTAATATGTAACAGATAATTCAATTTGTGGCAGTGTAATCTAAATAAGAAATGTGGTGTACAGACAATACACAGTAGTAAAATTTGGTGTCAAAATTTTCTGCTCCCTCTTTTAATTAATTAAATTTCACACTTAAAATATGCTCCCCACCCCCCAAAACCACATACTACGTATATTAACAAACTCACACCGAAATGCCATTTTGTATCACAACAAACCTGCCTCAACAAGGTTTCTCCTTCTCAGAGTCTCGTCTAGCAGTTTGAAAGTCTTCTTCACAAGCTTCTGGTCTAGAGCGGTTGTTCTGTAAATCTTGAAAACTCGATCAACACGATCAGGGGCAGTGCATTGGTAATAGAGCTCCTCGAATTTCTTCTTAACAAACCTGACAGTATAATACAGTGATCAAAATATTGAATCTAAACATGAAGTTGCCTGCTTTGCATTGTGGATGTAAGCCAACAAATACAAAAGCTATAGCATATATCACAGATCTACAAAGCTAACTCATTGTTAATAGCTTAATGCACCAAACATCAAACAAGAGCTTTTGCAAACATATATTCTGCCAATCACTGAAATTCTCTACAGAATTCCAAAAACAAATATGAGTTGGAACCAAAAAAAAATGGATGAGCAACTTCATGAATTCCACCAACCATAACAACTAAAGCAGACAGTAGCCAACTAGCCATGAAGTGCTTACTCATAGGCATGCTCAATCTCTTGTTTTCCAGATGTAACTGATTGATAATCCTTGAACCATTCGCATGTACTCAGTGGAACCTGTTGATCAAAGAATGACATTCAATATATGGAGTTAATTCAACAAATTCTCAAGGCCAAAGAGCTTATTGACCTTACTTTCTGAACTTTCTTCTCAAATATATCGAACTTGTTCAGGAACAACATGATGGACGTTCTCTGCAAAAAAAGGGCAAGGATTCAACAGTTAAATCTTGCCAGGAAAACACTATGTACCCCATAATTCCAGAATAGTAGAGGAAAACCTCAAAGCATTGCTGCTTCAAGACCCACTCAAAGAGCTCCTTAGTTTCAACCATCCGATTCTTATTCTCATCCTCATAGAGCATTTGATCGTAACTGATTCATAGAGTAAGCACAAACTGAGTACATAATTTGCCACCAAAAAAAAATTCTCAGATATCAGTTAAAAATGTTAAAATTTAAAACCGTACAGGTCATGTCTTAGTATATAACATCTATCAAGAAAATGAAACAGGATATGAAGTTTAAACCACTCAGAGAGTCGAAATAGCATGAAACAGGATATGAAGTTTAAACCACTCAGAGAGTCGAAATAGCATGAAATGATAAGTATAGTATCACAGGTAAATCAATCAACAGTCAAACTTCACCATCACAGATCTATCTCTCCAATTCATAGTTCTTTCCTCTCCAATCCCGAGAGTCATAAAAGTATGGAATGATTAGAATAGTGTCATAGCTCATAGGTAAATCAATCTCTAAAGGTCAAACTCCACCATCGTTGATCCATCTCTCCAATTCATAGTTCTTTCCTCTCCAACACTGATCTATCTCCACACCACCATTCCTCTCTTTTCACCTCCACCCACCACCTATCCCCCCTCTTCTCCACCTACACAAAAAAGGTTATTCGGGGTCAAATTTGACCACTAAAGTTCTAGATCACCATTGGCCAATAACAACCACTATGTCCACTGATGATCTAGATCAAAGATCAAAGAAAATAAGGCAATTTATTTCTTCTGTTCATTTTCTGTACTTCAATTTTAATTTACTTTTCTGGTTACCGGAGAGGGGGAGGGGGGGGGGGAGGTGATGAACTAATGCTTCAACTTAGTTATAATTAGTGGGTTATTGGTTTCCTTATTTTTAGTCATTAGTCTAATTTGTTTTAATTAAGTCATTAAGCATGTGTTCAATTAATGAGAAGTGGATAAAAGTAGAGGGACATTAACTTAGCCACTTACTCCACAAGTCCACGTTTCTAGCATTAGTTGCTTAGTTTTAGGATGATTTGGTTTTGTAGACAGTTTCAATGTGAAGGAGAATGCTATTTATTATCTTCTGTTCATTCTCTGTACTTCACTTTCCACATTTTTTATCTTTTTTATTGGGAGGGGAGGGGGGGTTCAGTAATTTGGGTAGTGGTAGTTGTGGACTCATTGCAATGATGGTGGAGTGAGGGACGGAGGCGCCAGGGAGATGAATGACTGCAGTTACAGCAGCGGGGAGAGGAGGCAGTAGGTGCTTGTAGATGAGGTAATAGTGATGGTGGTTCGGCTAATGAAGTTGTGCATCAGATTGTGATGGAAGAAAGGGTCATGTTGCTAAAGGCAGGCAGTGACTTCCTAGCAAAAACACAGGTGTAACAAAAGTGAATTAGAGAATTCATAATTTGCTAAATCCTTGAGTAAAAAGGTGCAGCAGGATTTTACTCGGTCTAGATTTATGATGAATAGGGTTAAAAGGAGATATCATAGGGACTATGAAGAACCGGAATTCACCCAACAGATAGACAGATCTTAAGGTTTTCACCTTCCTTGAAGAAATGGATGATTTGGATAATTGCATGACAAGCCAAAAAAAAACAACAAATAACTACAGCATCATGGTTGCCAGGAAGAAGCCTTGTCGTCCATCTCAGAGTTTATTGTAAATAGTTCGGACAATTACATGGCCACAAATAATTTAAATCTTTTTACATTAAACATGACCTCAGATAAAAATTCCGCACATAACAAGCTGGACTGAATCATGGAGATTAATTCTGACAGGATTTGAAGTTTACTTATATTGCTGCATGCATTTTGAGTTTGAAGAATAGAAAATTACAGAGGGTGTTGAGCGGCATAATGGATGAATTATATACTGTTATAATGAGCACCAATAGAGCAAGAATTGGCCTAATTAATTATTGCTTGGAACCCACAGGTAATTTTTTATAACTCATCAAAATCCAAAACAAGCAGCAGAGCACAGATTTGGGCCAAGTTGAAAATCTGAGGTGAATATGGTGTACGTGATGAATGTGAGAGTTTTTCTCACATTAGTGATTTTTGTACTTCAATGCAAGCATTAGGAGTCCAGCAGGGTTAAATGTCCTTGGTGGAATTCCTGTATCCAAAGAAAAATGATTCTAGTTTTTCAGTAACTTATGGCCGGGGTTTTCTGTATTCTATTTTTTTTTTTTTTGAACAGGGTGATACCTTCTGAATCTTTCAATCCTACCCAACATAAGTTCATATTAGTTTCACTTTCATTTCACTAATTAATTAGTCTCTTCATCAATCAAGAATCACCAAAGAAACAGAGAGTTCAATTGAAAGGAAATTTGGTTAAATTGTTGGATCTCTGAAACCTTCAAGTCCTATAAATTTAAATTACAATGTCATCACAATAGATGATGTTAACATCCAAAATATGGGACACAGACACAACATCAGTACATCACCAACATACAATAAAATACTAACAAACCAAGAAAAGAACATCTTACTCGCTTATAGCAGCACAAAAGATTACAGCCGTGACACCTTCAAAAAGATGGATCCACTTCCTTCGCTCATTTCTTTGGCCTCCAACATCAAAAAGTCTGTATACCTCACCACTTTTCTTATTCTCTCCAACTGGGCTGTAAATTTGAAATTTTTAATTAAACGGAGAGAAGAAAAAGGTGTTATAAATTGTGAATTTCTGGACAGTTAAAATTAAAAAATAGTTAGACACAAGCTCCTGCAGATACTGGAGATAACCTCAATATCACTAAAGTTCAGAACTACCTAAAAGCAATTTCTTGAGTTTTTAGAATACTCGAAGAAAGATAACAGAGACGTGTCACAAGGAGAAAGAAGCAGTACTATTGTGTTTAACTGAACTGAAAATGCAAAAATACCTAGAGATAATTCATTTCAGCACAATGTTTACCTGAACTGAATCTCAACAACCCCTGTTGTGCGGACACGGGCATAAAGAACGTCTTCCTGGATATACAATGCCATTGGCAAGGACATAGAATGCAGTCATAATGATGTACAAAAAATGCTATGCACGAATTATACATAATCAAAAGGTGCAGTAAAAAGTATAAAAGCAGATAAATGACGGGAAATAAATAGTTACTAGGGAACATTACAAGTATAAGGGGTAAAGAGCAAAAATGCAGAACTAGAGATATCCCTCATATGCTTCTCCCAGTTGTTCTATTGTCCGCTAATTTTAGTGATTGCTAGATTACACATTGGGGTAAATCATAAAAGTGCTCTAAATTTGAAGATAAAAGTTTAATTATGTTTTCTGCTTAAATCAACCACCAAAAGATAAATGAAAGGTGATAAATAGCATCACGCACCTTTGTAGGGATATAATCTGCATCAGAAAGTCTTTTAAGGTGTTCCATAAAATAATCGGTACAGTCTGGAAGTTGTAGTTCACTGCTGCGGGCAAGAGTTTCCTACAGAGATTATGCTAGTGAGTAGAACTCGTTGAAGAATACAATCATATTTATTGATAATGTGGTAAACAAACAAGTGCCACCAGATCCAGCATCTTGAAACAACCAAATGCAATAACAACCTGAATAGCCGGATCTTTCCATAATTTTTCAATTTCCTCAGAAAGCTCTTTAGTGAGTTGTGGATAGTCCAACCTGCCACCAATTTCTGAAAGCTTGTCTCCGAGTTCCTAACAGAAGAAACATATTTTAAAATTTTGACAAAGATAATGTTCCATCCCTCAGAAAGTCAATAGGGGACAAAAAACAGTCCAAGAAAACTTGGTTGACTGTCTAGCAAATCAGAGAAATGGGAAAACACGTTGGACATTCAAGCCAAACCTGTCACTTATGGAAAAGTGAAGTCTAACCTTGTTATCGGTGGACAAGGTATACTTTGAAGAGTCGGTTTCATTTAGAGCCAATTCCTTGGAGCCATCAATCAATAACTAACAAAAACAAAACAAGCGTAACATGATTAAAAATGCAGCAATTGTAGTGAAACGAAAATGAAGACGAAAATAGTAAGGAAGTAAAAAGGCATGTCAAAAAGGGAAACAACCGACACACCCTTGTTCAAGTATAGCATACTTTGATAGTCTGATAGACATTGGCATGAATAACGGGTGTATAGCTGTTCAATTCAGCATGATCAAATCCCATCTGAAACAGAAGTTTAATCTGCAAGCGAGAGAAGAGCCTAGTGTAAGACATTAGTAGTAGCGGTGATGAATGAGCACAGAAGCAAGTGAAATAATGAATAACGATACCTGCTTGAAAATAGTTGATTTACCGGATTCTCCAGCACCTTGAAAAGGAAAATAATAGGAAATGAATGTGGTGCTTTTAATTAATAGTAAAAAAAAAAAGAGAGAGAGAAGCATACCAAGTAAAAGGAGCTTCTGTATATGCTTTTCAGCAATAGTTTCTCTCTCAATCCTTCTTTCGATCTCAGTAGCCTGGAATTATAAGATGAAATTGCAATTGTGAAATTGCAATAGTGAATTGTTTAATAAATAATAATAATAATAATAATAATAATAAAAAGAACCTGGGCATTTTCAGGATCAGGTTGAGTGGAATGTTGATGCCTGCTGCAAAGTAAACCCATGGTGCTGCCTGCTGATTAACAAATCCAGAAAGATATTCATGAAAACTGACCCACTATCCAGTGTAGCAGTAGTAGTAAATAGTAATCATTGAAAAGAGAGTGATGAGTAAATTACCCAATTATTCAAACTGTTGATGTTAAATTAGGGTTCAGCTGCTGCTTGATCTTTGATAATGGCGGTGTTGGGTGACTGCAATTACAGTAAGAAGACACGCCACCCAAAGTTACCCTCAAACCCAATTAGTTAGTTTGAATTATGTTGCCAATTTCCCCACTTTTTTCACTCGATCGTATTTGTGCTTTTCCTTCCTTTTCTTTTTATTATTATTATTATTGTTTTTGGAAATTCAAGCCTCGTGCTTACTTCCTTCCAACACATCCAACTCCATATCTCACCAAACCCATTACCACCGCCTACTACCGTTTTCACACATCAAAACTCCAAATCCCCCATTTCTTTTAGATTACTACCGACTTTATTTCAATAAGCTTTCATTTGCTCTAATCTCATTTTTTACTGTAGTATGTTTTACTTTACTACTCCATAGTTGTAGTTTTATTAAATTTTGACTTCATTTTCCTAATTCCACTTATGTCTTGTCTCTTCGCTTTATTTTTGCTAAACTTATATTATCTTTGTTGAATTGAAATTATTTTTATTGATTTTCTATTACTACCTTTGTGTGAGAGATTAAAAAAACCTCTCACACAAATAACCAATTGTTACACATAATGTGAAACAAAGGAAGTATATTTCTTCTTTAAAATGAACGATTTTTATTGAATTGAAATCGTCTTTAAAAAATTGAAATTAAACGAAATATTTGTACTCAATATTATTATTTTAATAGGAAAAGATTAGGGCTTTAGTATGCAATTAAACTTATTTAATAACTACGGTGACTAACACGCGCATCACACGCGCCATAGCTAGCTACACCCCAGGAGCCTTTTTAATTTGACCTTCTATCACAATATGTATACAAATATTTTTAGGGATATAAATATGTGCACACTACTATCATTAAGAATTAGCATTAATGAGGTCAAATAAGTAAACAACTATTTTTAGGGGTATAAGTGTCCGCACACTATTTATACTGGTTGAACTATCTAAAAGGTAGGGATAATTAAATGAAAAATATTAAGACAAAATCTAACTAGATCTCCCTATGCAAAGTAAATAGTGTTTTCTTCGAGTTCATGAGCTAATATCTTGATTTTTCATGACACTAATACCTAGCTTGATTTAAAAAATAAAAATAAAAACTAAAAAAGCACCTTATATCCAATTTTATTTGCGGCTATAAACTCAATCAAATGTTTGACTATCAACTATGTTGTCTCTCTTTCAATATATACTCACATAGTCACATGTAATCCTGGGCACCGTGCCGTGCCGGGCCGCCGCGGGCCGTGCCTGGCGGGCCACGGGCTGGTTCGTGCCGTGCCGGTCGTGCCGGCGGGCCCAGGATTTCGTGCCGTGCCGTGCCGGCCATTTTCACAGGCCAGCCCACGGCACGGCACGGCCCTCGTGCCTGGCGGGCTCATGCCGTGCTGGCCACGTGCCGGCCTGCGGGCTGGCCTGCGCGGGCTGGTGCAGTTTTCATTTTTTTTTTTTTTTTTTTTTTTTTTTAATGACAACATTATAAATTAATAAGTTTATAATGTATATAAGTTATAAAATTATAATTATAAGTTTTATAAGGTAACTTATAAGTTTATAACTTATAAGTTATAAGTTATTAAGTTATGAATTTTATAATTATAAGTTGAATATTTATGTTTTATAATTTGTATATTCAATATTTATATTTATATATTTACTTTATACTATTACTTTAAAATTTAATGTTTATGATTTATTAGTAATTGGTATAATTTTATTTTTTTCTAATATGAATTTACAAATTGTAACAAAACGGGGAAAAAAGGCAAATTGGACTTTGGATGTGAATAATGCGTACTTTATATTATTATTACTTGAGTTGAGAAAATTGTACAATGATAACAATGATAAAAATCATACAATGATGGTATTAAACAAAAATTGGAAAATGATAAAATTGATATTTTTAAAATCGTACAATATACAATAATTGTCTATTCTTCTTCTCCTTCTTCTTGCTCGTCTTCGTCTTCGTCTTCGTCTTCGCCTTCGCCTTCAAGGTCATCGGCTAGTTGCATAGATTGGGAACTAGCCGAACCCGAACCGGAAGCGGAGGTTCCTTCTTCGTTGTCGTTGTGGTCGTAAGAACGGTCTTGTGAGCGATTTTCCGCATCCAACCAATCTTTGAAACACACGCACATTTCTAGTGTTTCGGGTTTTAGACTTGTTCTTCTATCGTCTAAAACCCTTCCGGATGCGCTGAAAGCTCGTTCGGAGGCGACGGAGGAAACTTGGATAGCAAGAATGTCTCGTGCCATTGCCGCCAAAGTTGGATGCTTCGAGCTTTGTTGTTTCCACCATGCAAGGAGGTCGAGGCTGTTTATCTCATCGTCGTCCATGCCTTTGGTGAAGTCGTAACTCAGGTACATCTGCAACTCCGAGACGTCGCTTTGCGTTCTCCTGATTGATGAATCACCTGAAAACCTTGAAATCAAGTTAGTAGCTTGTGAAAATAAATGTTTGGCCTTCTTACTTACGTTTTTGGATGGTTGGGAAGGCCCTGAGCGAGGAACGGTGCCATATTTGGCTTCATAGACTCTATATAAAGCAAAAAACTGATCCTTCACATTAGTCTTATAGTTTTCTACATCATCGTCAAGAAACATGCATTGAAAGTAAATGTCAACTAACATAAATGTGTTTTCATACTTTTGCCTAGGATCTAATATGGAAGCAAAAATATAAATCAAAGGAATCTCACTATAATATTTACGCCACTTTTTTTCCATTGCTGGAAGATACTGATCATAATCACTTTGATCGCGATGATCAGCGAAAAGTTGGGCGAGTAAGCATGCATTAGAAAGAAAGTTTTGAGCACAAGGATTGTAAACAGTAGAAAAACAATACGTCATGTTATATAATAACTGTAAAAATTGCATATATCTTTCACAGTTTTTCCAATCATCATCATACAAAGCATTTTGTGGAAATTTTTGGTTGTAAAATAATGTTAACGGGCCCTTGTACTCAATTGCCTTTGTTAACATGTCATAGGTGGAATTCCACCTAGTTGGGCAATCGGTTCTAATTTTTATTACCCTTATCTTTTGTTGTTTTAGAAAACTCTTCCATTCTTGGTATCTCATGTTAGAGCTATTAATAGACATAATAGCATCTCTGATTTTGCTGTAGTATGGGCCAATTGCCCGAACTCCATCCTGTACACATAAGTTAAGTACATGGCAAACACATCTAGTATGAAGAGCTTCACCGTCTAATAGTATATCGGTTAAGTTTTGTTTGATAAGATTAGCTGTGTATGTCATAGAGGTTGCATTATCAAAAGTCATAGACATCATTTTATCTCGAAGGTTGTATTCGTCTATTGCTTGCATTAAATGGTGAGCAATGTTAATGCCGGTGTGTGGGTATTCCAGCATTTTGAAATGTATTATTCTTTTTTGTAACATCCATTGATCATCTACCCAATGGCAAGTCACACATAAATAGTGATATTTATAACCACTATCCCAAGAATCGGCTGTTAAAGATACTCTACAGTTAAGGTTACTCAATTCGGCTTGTAACCGGACTTTGTACTCTAGGAAATTTTTCATTGCGGCGGAACGAACGGTTTTCCTAGAGATTCTTTTATGTTGGGGTTGTAGTGCTTTGTTAATGTAGGTGTTGAATGCGTCACTTTCCGAGAAAAGAAAAGGTTGTTCGGCGTGTACTATCATTTTTCCTAGTTCATCCCTATCCCTCTCATAGTTGTATGTAAAGCCGTATGGATGGAATTGGGAAATTTTGGGCTGGGTTGGATCACTAGCTGGTTTTGCACAAGCTTTCATGAGTCTAGATAAGTGTCCCGTCCCGTTTTTGGTAACTGCCGTGAATACACTATTACATGTTTTACATTTTGCCCATTGTTCACCATCTTTACTTAGGACAAAATAACGCCATACCTCACTCCTTCGGTTTTTCAAAAGTAGCATCTCAGTTTCGGTTAACCATTCATGATGTGTGTGATGGTTAGTAGTGGGACTAGTGGGAGTGGCAGTAGAAGGGGTAGAACCGGAGGGAATTCGGGTACTTTCTTGGATACCTTGGCTAGAACAATAGTTTTGTTGATTACCGATATAATTAGGTGGAAATTGGTATGGTGGTAGTGGAAATTGGTTTAGTGGTGGTGCTGGAAATCCCGACGTATTATATGGCTCATAGCCCGGGGGGAAGTAATTGGGGTCATTGGTTTGACTCGTAATTTGGGGGCTCGTTGTATTTGGTGGTTCCCTAGAACTACTACTACGGATAAGTCGGCCTTTCCCCCTAGACCTAGATGATGGGTTGTTCGATGCCATAATTAACAATTAATTTTTTAATAAAAAGTGGTTAACTATAATAATAATAATTAATAACAACAATTTTAACAATAAAAATATCAATAATATTAATTAATAACAACAACTATAACAATAACAATAACAACAAAAATAAATAATAACAACAATTGTAACAATAATAATAATTAATAACAACAATTATAACAACAACAATAACAATTAACAACAATAATAATTAAACAAGATTATTCTAATAATAACAATAAAACAATAATAAATTTAAGATTAGTTTAGATCTTACAACCGTGCTTCAACGCTCCACTAATTACGATTACGAACTTTTTAATTTTTTCCGATATTAGGAAAATAATTAGAGAATTTAAGAGAATAATTAGAGAATTTAAGAAAATAAGGATTATTAGAGATTTAGAGAATATAAGAGATAAGAAGAAGAGATTGTGATTTTGTGATTTGGGAATGAAATGGAGGTGAGTATTTATAGAATTTTTGGCAAAAAACTAGCCGTTTTATAGCCGTTGGCCCGCGGGCCGTGCCTGCGGGTCGTGCCTGCGGGCCAGCACGGCGGGCCATGCCCGTGCTCGTGCCGGGCCGTGCCTGGGAATTCTCAACCGTGTCCGTGGCACGGCCCGTGGCACGGAAGTTGAACTTCGTGCTGTGCCGTGCTTGACTTCGGGCCGTGCCGGGCTGCGCCGAACGGCGGGCCGTGCCGGGCGGCACGCGGACCAACCCGGCCCGTGCCCAGGTTTAGTCACATGTGTGTTACTTAAAAAAAAAAATAAAAAATAAAATAAAAAATAAAAAAAACCATTAGGAAACCCTCTACAAGGGAAATTTCTAATAGTGCATCTAGATACATTGTGAGAATTAAACTAAATTTATTATAATATGTAATACCCTGTATTTTTATACGTATTTTAAATTAAATCAATATTTTATGAAGTATTTAAATAATTCGAAATGAATTATTTATAGTATTTTATTAATTTAAAAAGGTTTATTTTAATTAAAGGTTCATTTTTATTTATTTAATTATTTTGGAAATATTTTATTTTATTATTTAGAAACTTTGGGGCATACTATTTTATAAAAGGAAGTTTTAAGGTCAATAGAATTTAAGGAAAGTCAAAGACTAGTTTGAATGGGAAAAGGAATCATTAAGGGTAGAAGAGGAAATTTAAGCTAGGAGGGTTTGAGATAGGGTATAAATACCCATCACATGAGCAAGTTAAACCTTGCCCAAGGTGAAAAATACCCAAAAGTAAACTCTCTCTCTCCTCTTATTTTCTCTCCCCTTAACTTGTGTGTGCATGTCGGTGTGTAAAAAACATAAAGGGGAGGGGGGAAATTAAGGGAGAGAAATAAGAGGAGAGAGAGTTTACCTTTGGGTATTCTCCACCTTGGGCAAGATCTAACTTGCTCATAAGATGGGTATTTATACCCCCTCTCAAAACCCTCATATCCTTAAATTCATTTTCTACCCTTAATGATCTCTTCTCCTATTCAAACTAGTCATTTGACTTTCTTTGAATACAATTGACTTTAAATTCCCTTTTATAAAATAATATGCCCCAAAATTTCTAAATAATAAAATAAAATATTTTCAAATCAATTAAATAAATAAAAATGGACCTTTAATTAAAATAAATCTTTTTAAATTAATAAAATACCATAAATAATTCCTTTCAAATTATTTAAATGTTTCATATAATAATAATTTTAAATTAAAATACGTATAAAAATACGGGGTATTACAAATATGATGTGTTTATTCGCTATGATTATTATATATTTGCTTGTGAGACTAACACAAAGGTATTAATATTTGTTTTGGGTTTTGATAAGGGCCTACAATAGTTCCAAGTTGTAGATTGACTTCGTTTGACTATGGTTTAACTTTACTTTCGTTTGGTTTTACTTTATAAGTTAACTTGTTTTGAATGGTTTTTAAAGTGAGTCTTCTGTTGTGTGTTTTTGATAATTGTCTTAGCCGTTTTCACGGTGGCGGTAATGTCTTAGACTTTCCTATTTTGTATTTTAAAAAGAGCAAAATAGGTATTTTAAAGGAAAGAAATTTCTAGGGTGTTACATAATATCTATATTATCGCTCACTAAATCACCCGTCTTTGATATATATGGTGATTGGTGAATGCTTCAACCATGAAATTGGGAAAGTAGTGCTCTAATATCGAGGATGATGTGCTCGATCTCCCACGTACGGAATGGACCACATACAGAATGGAACATATATACCTTGGACATAGTTAAGAACTAAAAGGTTGTTGCCCTCAACTTGAATATTACGTATACCTTGTTAGAGAGCTATGAGAATATACCTTGGTGGAGAGTATTAGCTTCTGCAATGAAGGCTTTGGTAATACTAAGTTAAGGTGGTAGACTTAATGAGACCGTTGTTGCCTCTAATGATGATTTATGTCGCTACTGAATTATGGTAGATTGACTCGTCGAAGTTGTGTTTGGAGAAATTTGAAGGAGGTAGCTTCCAAGAAACGAGGAGAGGAAGTTGTATAGTGGAGTAAAATGACGGGAGTGAGATCTCTTAATAGGGGATCCCAAGGAAGAGAAGGTATTGATGAGACTTCTTTGTTTTCAATCAATAGCCGCAAAATTCGCTCGATGGTAAACACGAAAATAATCTATAGTTTCGTTTTAGAAAACGATAGAATTTCATTCTTTTCAAATGCTCTAGACAAGGAAAATAAATTTTCTTAAAGTAAATTCGTGTTTCCTAAGATACAACATATATAGAGCCAACAAGTGATTGAGAAGGGATAGTGTATTCTTTTTTTTTTTTTTTTTTTTTTTTTTTTGAGCAAAGCGTTCTATCTATTTTCTTTATTAGAGGGTTAGACCAAATTTCTATAGTTTTGTCACAACGTAGGAAAAGGTGGCTTAGAGTTTTTGCTATGCTGATTGCATAGGATGCAATTTTAAAAGGGAATAGTATTACTTCTTTTTAGAAGGTGACTTCAATCCAAAACAATAATGAAAGATTTGCCATAAGAAAATGTATAGTTTATGTGGGATGTTTAGAGCTCAGATCCAACGATATTGCCATTTAGTGCTATTTGGCTAATGAAGAAGAATAAGTAAGAAAAGATAGACTTTAATTTAGGGAGTAGAAGGCGAATCAGATTTTGAGGGTAAGTATTCAAAAATTTAGTTAAAAAAAAGAAGTTAATGCTTGGAATCTTGACTCTATCATCAAATAAAATGAAGTAAAGGTGATTTTACTAACTTTGTTAATCAACTCTTACTTACTATAATTTCAACAATAAACCTATTGTCTATAATAGGTTATTAGAATTGCATATAAGAAGTATGATATTATTACAAAAAAAAAAATCTTTAATATTATTATAAATTTAAATGTTGATAATTTTGTGAGAATAATGGGAGCATAACATAAACAACTATGAAAACGGGGAAAAAAAAACCCAAAATCTAGCAAATGAGACTAACGATTTATTATTTTCTTTTTAAAGGGTACACACTAAAAGATAAGAGACCTTTCTCTTGAAGGTTGTACATAAGGATTATTTAAAAATTATTAATTTTTCTTGTGTGGATAGATCATTTTGCATAATTGGAGTTGATCATGATTAAATTTGCATTTGTTGTTGGATAAGATTATACTTCCAACCTAGTTTAATTGAGGGGAAAAAAATCCAAATTGTTTGGAGAGGGAAAAAATAAAAAAAACGTCGCCTGAGAGATTCGAACTCTCGCGGGGAAACCCCATGTACTTAGCAGGCACACGCCTTAACCACTCGGCCAAAGCGACCATTTGATGCTACATCGTAAAAAGTAAAGGTATTAAAAAACAGCATAAAAGAAGCCAATAACTGGAGAAGAAAAGCAGACAAAGGCAAGTGGTGGCGTTGGAAGGAAGAGGCGAAAATGGCGGCGTCGGGAGGTAGTGGTGGTGTTGGGAGTTTGTCCGGCGGCGATCGAGAAATACTTGCGACGGTGAACATGGTTGCTTCAAGTTTGTCATTGATTGGATCTAGCTTCATTGTCCTTTGTTACATTCTTTTCAAGGACCTTCGCAAATTCTCTTTCAAGCTCGTCTTTTATCTCGCTCTCTCTGTAACTCTCTTTCTCTCTCCTACCAATCATTCTATCACTTTGTTCTTCTTCCTTTCTTTTTTAATTAACAATCACTGCTATGTATCTCTCTATTGCATTTTTAGGTCATTTTTACAGTTGGATTGCAAACTTCAATATTCATTTTTAAGTATATTTGGATTACATTGTAATTTGGTTTTGATTGCAGGACATGCTTTGCAGTTTTTTCAATATTATTGGGTATGTTTGTATGTATGTTATGTCCAATTGTTCATCGCATCATTCATTATAATGCTCAATCATTTACTCAATTCTATGATTAGTTGTGATGTCTATATACATACACAGTGTTAATTACAGCGTTTCCCATTCTATGTAGAGATCCATCTACAGGGTTCTTCTGTTATGCTCAGGGTTATAGCACTCATTTCTTCTGCGTCGCGTCCTTTTTATGGACAACCACTATAGCTTTTACTCTTCATCGTACTGTTGTGCAACACAAGACTGATGTTGAAGATTTAGAGCCTGTTTTCCACCTCTATGTATGGGGTATGCATGTTTTCCATGTCTCAGGATCTATCTTCTGTTGTCATGCCCTGTCCGCTTCTACATTGTCATCATTCTCTTCATTTCATGACCTTAGTCTATTCTTCTTATCTCGTTTTCTTACAGGCATGGCAGCGAGTCATGCTGCTTATCTTTTTTTTCCTCGTCTTTAATTGAATTGAGTGCTTTTGTATTCATTCAGGAACTTCTCTGGTCATGACTATCATGCGCTCCATCGGTAATCATCATAGTCATATACGTGCTTGGTGTTGGTCCCAAACAGGCCGTGCAGGAAAGGCAAGAACAGAATCATATACCTCTAGTTATCCTGTGATATATTTAAAATAGTTCTGGACCTTGTTAAGTTGTTAGATTCCTGACCTTAATGCAATTTAGTTTAATTAATTTATGAATGTTTACTTCCACATTTCTTTTCATAAGTATCATAGCTAATGCATTTACTTTAAAAAAAAGAATTGAACTCCCTTTGGTGACCATTCCGTGCTTTTGACATGTGAATGGGGAATAGTCGAATAGCTAATGAGAAAGAAGATAAGTGTAATTGTAATTTGACAGACATTAATTCCTTGAAATTGCCATGGTCTTCTCCCTTTCTCGTCCTTATCTGTCAGGATTCGGGAGATTTTTTAAATTATTTGTATTCGTCTTTATGCGTTTTCAAATCAGAATATTGGCTACTATAAAATGCAGTTGATGGCTCATTTCTTAAATGCTTGTGTTTGATGTTAATTCGACTGCCTTCATCCGCAGGTTGTCCACTTCGGAACATTCTACGCTCCGCTTTGGGGTGCGATTCTCTACAATGGTTTTACATATCTTCAAGTGATCCGCATGCTGAAAAACGCAACTCGTGTATGTACTGACTCATGCATAAAAGTGTTATTTCATTGCACAGACCAATTAACTCACTCATACTGATCAGTCTAAGGCTGAATATTGAAATGCCCTCTATCCCTCATCATTTCAGATGGCAGCTGGTATGTCGGACCGGGCACACCAATCTGATGCTAGGCCAGACATGAGAGTATGTTTTAGTTTGCTGTACCTTCTTTGGCAATTGCCTAAATCTCTGATGCATTGCATTATTCATGTCATTAACTGTTCTTCCATGTTTATCACATCTGCTTTATGCTTCTATTTATACATCAATTTTTCTCTTTGCTGATTTTTGAATCCAATTTTAATTTTTATTATTTGTAGCCTCACCTGTCTTATACCTTAAGTATCATGGTTTCTTTATGAGGCTTTTATGCTGTCTTACTCAACTTCTTATGGGCCTGTAGCTCGTTACTACAAAAGGAAGCTTTAGGCCCATATTATATGAAGAATTTAGATGGTTACATGAACATACTTACCAATGACCATTGAGTCATTGACTGATTGCTTTTTATTTTTGGAATTTGATTTTTGTAAGGTCTTGCTAACCCTGGCTGAAATCTTTATTTTCTTTGTTTTTAGGCCTTAAATCGATGGGGTTATTATCCTCTTATACTTATTGGCTCATGGGCTTTTGGCACGATAAATCGGATTCATGATCTGATTGAACCAGGGCATAAAATCTTTTGGCTTTCTTTTCTTGATGTGGGGACTGCTGCACTGATGGTAATTTCAAGTTCTTATTGATAATTTTACTGGATGGAACAAAGGGGATGCTTCTTCTGTTTTGCTATTTTTGTGCAAATTACATTGATCCTATGTTGTACCAGGCAATAAAGCTGACTCTTCACATGTCTTGATCATTTGATTCATGTCCAGCATTCTTTTGTCTTTTTATTCTATGATTATTTTGTTTTCAGCCAGATTTAGTTGCCTAGGTGGATCCTCAATTTACAAGATGCTACACTATGAGGTTGTAGGATCCAAGACAGGTCAAAACCATATTTGGTGGCCCCTCACTTTAAAGAATGCTACACTCTGAGATTGTAGGCTCAGTTTATACTTTTAAGAGTCTCATGGTCCGGAAATAATAGTTACAAGTATACTTATAAATAATGGAATGTCCGGATAAGTAATCACCTTTCCTAATATAGTAATGACTTATGATTGAATTTGATAATATGCCATTATTATAAAAAAAATCTTTTTGAAAAACCACGTTATATTCTTATATAAAAAGGATTGGGACAATGTTTGTTTCTGGATGGAGGGATTATTTGTTCTCTTGTTAGTTGTATATGCTCCATTTTGTTGCAGTTTATTGATATTCGGAATCAGATTCATCTTCTGTTGTTTGGTTGATTGTCAGGGCCTTTTCAACTCAATTGCGTATGGTCTCAACTCGTCTGTGAGGCGGGCTATTTATGAGAGATTGGATCTGTAAGTAAAGGAAAACTACATATATATTATGCTTAGAGAAACAGTTTACATGTTGATTGCAGAGTGCTAAATAGTCCAGCAGAATAATTTAGCTGATCTTAGTCATATAACCTGTGAATATTCCTTTGTTTGTTATTGGAGATTTGGATTAATAAACATAGTTGCTGCTAGAAATATTAATATGTTAGAATTTTAGCTAGCGAGTTTAAATGTATGTTTGGTGCTGTCCTCTGTATCTAGCTTTTTTGACCATTCCAATCATTTAGTGCTACAGTCCTATTTTGGCTCTTAAAAACTCCTTCACTCTTTTTGTTGCATGCTTCATTGTGCGCCGAACTGGACTGTAGTATACACAGCTATTTGATTCAGATAGTAGGATGCCTAAAAACCCACTTGGGGACTTCTAATTGCACCAAGCGTACAAAACACATCTGGATGTAGTCATATTCACCCCTTAGGCACTTTTGTCTTCTTGCTTGGTGGGGAGACTCAGAGACTTAGTGCTAATAACAATGTAACATAATATCCTCATCAATGTCACCATATGTCCATATGTGGATTTTCAAGTAGCACAGCTGCAACTTGTGACAGCAGTTAAATCTATCATTCTATCCCCATCCCCCTGGATTTTTGTTTTCAGAATACAATTTTTGGATTTAGCTGATACCTGTTAATGATTTTGTGGTCTGATTTGTTATGCCTCTATTACTCAACAGAATTTGGCCTGAGAGACTGAGAAGATTGGATTTGCCACTTCGGATTTCAAAAGTCAGAGGGAAACAAGAAGAAAGTGAAATGGTCCCCCTAAAAATTCAAGAACAGCAACAATAGTTTGATGTCTCTGGGATCTGTTGTATGATTCCTTGGGATTTGGATCATTTAAAGAATGGTGTTGTAATGTACATTTGTAGAACAGAGAGTATCAAGAAGTTTTAAGGCAGAAACAAAGGGAGTTTTCTCTTGTATACATCCCGGTTTGATATCCAGCTTGTGGGAGCAGATGTTGACCTGGTGTAGCAGACAATCATTTGAAGGTATCTTAAAAAAAAAGAGCATCTGAGGCTTGAACATTGTCAAAATATACCTTCCAAGTTGCTAACAGTAGGTCAGTATTGATTGATTTTCGAGGGGAGAGTATCGCTTCATTTTGGGCTATGCAAGGATGTAAAAGATTTTCTGGTCTAGGATAGCCTGTGACGGAGTGGCAATTATTTTATTTCTTGACATGATTTAATGATGTGGTGACAACTGGTGAGAGCAATTGCAGCAATCATAGGTCTCCCTCTCTTGTGGCAATTTTGATCTACACTACTAGTGTGATTTATATATTCTTTGTTGTATGAGCTATCAAAAGTGTTTGTAATTGTGACATTGGATTTTAAGATTTCTGCGGCTATTCTGTAAGTCAACCATTTGGTAGAGCTTTGTGATGATGATGATGGTGCTGAGAAAATGAGGATAGCTGCTCCAGTGACGAGTCATTGCTAGTGTAGTGTCTGCAATTCTATGATTCTGTGGTAAAGGAACATGTTATAGTTTTTGATTTTTTATAGAAACAACAATATGATTTATGTATTATCCGTACCTTGATTGTGATCATATAGTATAACAAGTAGAGTAATAAATAAAATTAAAACTTAACTGTGTAATATATTGTTGATATTTACTTCGTACAAGTATTACCTTATCATAAGTTTTACTAAAATATAATTGCATATAATTTTGTTCAAATAGGAAGGAAAAAAAAAAAAAAAAAAGGTGACAAGGTGACTAGATGAAGCCCGTGCGATACACGGTTTATTTGTACTAGATGAACCTCGTGCGATGCACTGTTTGTTTGTATTTTTTTACAACTTATATATTTTTTCTTATGTTTGTGATAAAATTTGTTATCTTATTTATTTGTTGTACATAGTATATCATACTATCATTTAATATTTTTATTTTATTTATATTAAAATAAATTGTGAATTTTCACTCATTCGTTATATATTTGGATGAAATTCCTAATATCAAAAAATAATATTTAATATTTATTAATTTAAACTTTAAAATTTCATTCACCAATTTAAATGATAAATGATGAACATTTTTTTTTTGTTTTTCCAAGAAAAAGAGAAAGGGTATATTTTTAATTTCAATGATTTTTTCTTATTTTTTGTATTTAATTTAAAACTGTTTTTTTTAGAGAGAAAACTAATATTTTTTTAATTAACCGTGATTTCATTTTTTTTAAAGTTTAATAGTGTTTTTTTATATATAAAAGTTCCAATTTAAAAAGATAGTATTTTATTTTTATAATAAATTTAAATTTTAAATTTAATCTTATGTGGTGGTTTAAAATAACAATCCTACGTGGCATAATCCTATACATAGCGCTCTAAATGGCGCTCTAATAATTTTTTAAAAAGCAAAATTATAGGTGGCTCTCTAAAATATTGGGAAAAAAACTCCCCTCTATGTAATTTAACGTGATTTTATTTTTTTTATCAATATATTTTTATAAAATATTTTATTATAATCACTTGTCATATTTTCATTATTTCTTTTATCTAATCCAATTTTTTTTTTAAATATCAATTGAATGTGAATTTCATTTTTTAAGTTTAATAATATTTTTTTTATAAATACGAAATAAAATAAATTGTTTCTTTTCTCTTAGATAAAATTTTCAATTTAAAAAGATAGTATTTAATTTTTATAATAAATTTAAATTTTTAATTTTAATCTTACGTGGCGCTTTAAAATAACAGTCCTACGTGGTATAATCATATAAGCAACGCTCTAAAAATACTAATCCTACATGGCGCTCTAATAAGTTTTTAAAAATAAAAATCCTAGGTGGCTTTCTAAAATCTTGGGAAAAAACTCCCCTATATATACATATACTAGTTTTGTGACCGGGCGATACCCAGATTGTTGATAAATTTTTTGGTTTGAATGTTAAAATCGGTCTTATGATCCCTTTTGATAATGCTAAATATTTAGACATACAATATCATATCGCTTATTTATGTAATAATTGTACTTTTTGTAGTTTTGTTTGTAAATAAATATCTATGTTATTATTGACTTAAAATTATTTTTATTGAACTTTGATTATTTTTACTGAACTGAAAGTATTTAATTACCAAACTAAAAATATTTTTACTAATTAAAACTTATTTTTATTGATTCTCTATTTTTTTAAAAAAATAAATTAAATATATTATAAGTGGATCTTATTTTAAAGAATTTAAAACAAATTTTATGATGGAATTAGAGCTGAGTTATAGGATATTTATTTAAAGTTATGATTAATTTTGTATATGTGCAATATTAGAAGTATATCAATAATAAAACATTGTTATCTTAAAAAATCTATCCAAAATTCTCTTCCTTGGCTCGACACTTGGCATTTTCCTTAGCTCGACACTTGGCAAAAAAACTGGAATGCCAAGTGTCGTTGTCTCGTAGTCTGGCTGCGAGACCGGCTTTATTTATTAGTGATAATATGATATTAGATTTTTCAAAACAAATATTTTTTGTATATATGTGATAAAATATTATTTTATTTATCATTTAATATTCTTATTTCAAAATAAATTGTGAATTTCCTCTTAAAATTCCTAATCTCATAAGATAACATTTTATATTTAATTCATTTAAACTTTAAAATCTCCTTCGTTGATTTTGCTTATGTGGCATTTGAATTATTTAATTTTAAAATAATTTACAAGTCTCATATTTAATTGGTTATAACTAAAATTTATAATCCTACATGGTGCGTTTAGAAATTTTTATCCTACGTGGCTCTCTAAAAACTCGGGAAAAAACTCTCCTTTATATATATACTAGTATTATGCTTGGGCGATGCCCAGATGGTTGATAAAAGTTTAGGATAAACTTTTTGGATTGAATGTTGAATGCAGTCATATAATCCCTTTTGATATTGCAGGATATTTAGAAATACTGAATTAAAATTATATTTTATTGAATTAAAATTATTTTTACTAAACAGAAATTATTTTTACCAAAACTAAAATTATTTTTCCTGATTAAAACTTATTTTCCCTGATTCTCTATTGTTTTTGTAAAAAAAATTAAATATATTATAAATGGATCTTATTTTAAAGAACTTTTTAAAACGAATTTTAAGATGAAATAGTATCGAGTTATAAGATATTTATTAAAAGTTATGATTAAATATTTTTACTTAAATGTTAAATACGGTCAATAATTCGTTCTGATAATGTTGGATATTTAGACATACGATATCATATGGCTTATATTTATATGACAGTGTACTTTTTGTAGGTTTTTTTTGTAAATAGATATCTATGACTTGAAATTAATTTTATTGAACTTAAATTATTTTCACTGAACTGAAAGTATTTTTACCAAACTAAAATTATTTTTACTGATTCTCTAATAATTTTTAAAGTAAGTTAAATAACTATGCATTTTGTATGGCTAGCCACACCATCTGGTCGGACAAAGTAACCCCTATAAAACTGATCGAGTAATTCTTGTAATACTAAATGAGTAACCTCTAACACTAACTAAGTAACCTCCGAATGGCCTTCTTTCTGTCTTTCATCCTAGTTGTTCTATACTCGTACCAATGCTGGTATGTTACCTCCCTTTCATCATTTTGGTTTGGATGTAAGGTCCACTCATCCCAAGAGTCTGTTGTACTCGATTTTTAATTCCTGGTTATGCTGAGTCACCTTCACTGGATTTTTATCCATCTCTCTACGTTATCCCAACATAACAAACATTCAAAGGATTGCCACAAGCTTATCATAGAGGAAATCAATTAGAACACAATCATGCAATTATTAAATAACAACTTGCAAAATAATTAAATAAATGCAAGATATTCAGTATGCATGCATGCCCTTTCTAATCCTACCTGAATCTCACCAAATAAATAATTCAAGTTTCAAAGTCACTTTATAAACATTTAAAACAATTATTTCAAACACGGTTAAATTTAAATCATTTTTTACTTTTAAATATAAAATCCTTAATCGATTAATTAGGCGCCTAAGACATACTAATTGGCTTTAGTGGTAATTAAATCTAACCTGGCTCTGATACCACTTTGTAATACCCCAATAATTCTCTTTTTAAAAACATGTAAAGACCTTTAACAACCCGCAAGAAAAACACTGATGTGCTACCGCCACGTGTTCAAACGTTAAGGCTAGTTCAGAATTTAGCAGCGGAAAAACTAACTCAGTTATAAATAAGTTTCAAAACTAAAAATCAAACGAAATTTAGTCTTACAAGTCGGAACCATTAAGGCCCTTATTCAAAACCCAATAAAAAATCCAAACTTATGAAATGAAATATACTGTGGAATTATCCAACTCTCCACTCAAAATCCCACTACTTTGATGCAAGTACTGATTATGTAAAAACCTGTGATTAATCTGCTCCCCAATATTACAAGTGTAAAAATTGGATCATTACAGGGTCATTGAAGAGGCGAAGGCCATGATCAGGAAAGAGACACACAAAAGCACGCAATCAGCAACGCTGAGTACATACAAGCTACGAAATATAACAAAGAATTCCTAGCATAGTACTAATAAACACTCGACACACACAATTTAATTATTTATTCAAGCACATGTCTCAACTGTTAACATTACTAAGAATTCACTAATTAATAAATAATTCGTTTCATTCCATTTATTGATTGGATTAAGCAATAGACAAGGTTGTCTCCCCATGCTCCATTCCAGAACATCAATAAAAAAAAAACCCCATGCCTCATTTCAAAAACATCAATAAACATCCAATGGCAGACGGGCGCGACTCCGTGGCCATAGCTAGTATGAGAGCTCATCTAACTCCTTATAGTTTTAAAAAGTATTTGAAAACAAGAGACTCGTAGATCAGACGACCTCTAAAAAGTACACGGCTAATACCCCGTGAACCCAAACCCCTAATTGTCAATACTCTAAATGTGCACAAATCCAGAGTTTTATTGCTCATCCATCTTGCACTTTACGTGATTTACAAGTTTGGACTTGGTGATGACTCAATGCAAAACAATTAAACCAATCAACCTTTATCATTCAAGCAAATTCAAATTTCCAATTCAATTCTTGATTTATTAGTGACAAACAATATTTAGTATTGAATCCTTTAACTACCTTGGTGTATAAACACCTTAAGTGCATAAGGCACCTCAATCCTCAACCTCGTCTTATAAGACTTCAAATCTTCCTTTACTCATTCCATTTCAATAATAATGAACGAATAATAAAATAATTCATTCCATACATTCATGTACCTTTGCCTCTAAGCCCATCTTGCAAGTTATTGCATAAATAATACTTACAAGAAAAATCAATACGCAATTTTCATACATGAATCAAACCAATCATCACATTAATCATCAATCAAACTCACTACCAAACAATTTCATCCAATCTACAAGTTTCCTAACATGATTCTAAGTCTTCCAAGTCCTTAAACATGCTCCTAAAGTCAAGGTTTTCGTATCCTTGTACGTACCTTGAGTAAACGAGTTAGTTGGCCACTTTAGGAACTATAAATCACCTTCTACAAAGTCCTATCCTAAACCAAACAATAATAATTCAATCAATATCCAAGCAATATAATTTACAGCAATACTAACTTATTTTAAAACCTTCAAAATTCAATTGAACAACGCTTTAAAACCTTCTTTTTTACTAGAATTAAAAACCTTTATATAGTTCTTTATGTTTCCTACACAAAAACCTTGAATTACATACTTATTCATGAATTTACAGCAAGTTTAGAGCTTTATAAAAATCTGAAAATTTATTTTAAACATTAAACCTTCGTTAAAAATCAAAACCTGTCTGAAAACCATATTTAGAGGCTGAATTTGGCTACAAAAGAGTGGTGTTCACTACCATAGGTAGTGAGTTTTCATTTAAACGTCGATTACACACAAAAAACACTTTTTTTTTTTGTAAAAAACGAACGAGTTAGAATCTAAACGTGATTAAAAAAAATTAAGAACGGAGATCATAAGTTGATTAACGGAAAACTGAAAATTTGTTTTTATGCTTAATTAATCATTAGAAATTCAATAGGAACAAAAGCCTCAAATTAATTGATCATTAGATCCCTAAAATCCCAATTTAACTAAATTAAAACCCTAGGTTTAAAATTACAAAATCTGAAAATTAAAACAACAAATAAATTATTAGTTTAAAACATCAAAAACATGATTTTAATACTAAATAAACTAATTTAAGCAATAAAAACCAAAACCCAAAAATCAATTACATAAGCTTTATGAAAATAATAAGAAATAAAGGAGGAAGAAAATGAGACTAACCTTTTTGTGTGGGGAAAATTTGGGGATTCATGGGGTCTTTATAGGAGAGAATTGTAGGGTAGAATTGGACCTCATGAAAGTAATGGGCCAATTAAATAAACAAATGGGTTGTTAGACTTTGTTTTTATAATAATGGATTGTAGGATATAGGTTCATAAAATAATTTAGCCTAGAATAATTTTTGACCCAAATTAATAATTTAAAAATTAAATTCTGGAAAAATACTAATAAATATTATAAATAAAATAATATTTCATTTTTAAAATATTTAAAAATACGTGGGATTACAATTATCTTAAAAAATCTATCCAAAAATCGCTTACTTAGCATCATATGTGTCGCAATAATACATATTTATCTACTACGTGACGCGACACTTGGGGAAAAACTAAAATGCCAAGTGTCGCTATCTTGTGGCCTGGCTGCGAGACCGGCTTTATTTATTAGTGACTAGTTTTGTGCGTGGGCGATGCCTAGATTGTTGATAAAATTTCAGTATAAACTTTTTCGCTTGAATGTTAAATACGGTCCTACAATCCCTTTTGATAATGTAGGAAATTTAGACGTACGATGTCATATCGCTTATTTAATTAAATAAAAGTGTATTTTTTATAGTTTTGTTTGTGAATATCTATGTTATTATTGACTTGAAATTATTTTTATTGAACTTCAATTATTTTTTTAACTAATTCGCTATTATTTTCTTAAGTAAATTAATTATATTAAAAATGAATCTTATTTTAAAGAACTTTTAGAAACGATTTTTATGATGGAAATAGAACCGATATAAGATATTTATTAAAAGTTACGACTAATTTTGTATATATGAAATATTAGAAGTATATTGATAATAAAACTCTATACAATATTTTTATCTTGAAAAATTCTATCCGAAATTCGCTTACTTATCCTCATATGTGTCACAATCCTATTTATTTGTCGCCTACGTGTGTGGCTCAATACTTGGCAAAAAACTGGAATGCCAAGTGTCAATGTCTCGGCGATGCCAAGTTTGTTGATAAAATTTTAGGATAAACTTTTGGTTTGAATGTTAAATATGGACATATAATCCATTTTGATAATGCAAGATATTTAGACATACGATATCATATAATAGTGTACTTTTTATAGAGTTGTTTGTAACTAGATATCTATGTTATTATTGACTTGAAATTATTGTTATTCAACTTAAATTATTTTTATTGAACCGAAAGTCTTTTTACCAAACCAAAATTATTTTTACGAATTAAAACTTATTTTTTATTGATTCTCTATTATTTTTTTAACAAAATCAAATATATAATAAATGTATCTTATTTTAAAGAACGTTTTGAAACGAATTTTATGATGGAAATAAAACCGAGTTATACGATATTTATTAAAATTTTATGATTAATTTTGTATATATATGAAATATTAGAAGTATAGTGATAATAAAACTCTATACAACAATTTTATCTTACAAAAATCTATCCAAGAATCGCTTCCAGCATCATATGTGTCACAATAATACATATTTGTCTCCTACATGGCGCGACACTTGGCGAAAAACTGGAACGTCAAGTGTCGCTGTTTCATGGCCTGATTGCGAGACCGACTTTATTTATTAGTGATATGATATGATATGATATGATATGATATGATATGATATTTGATTTAAAATTTTAGATTTTCATCAAAATTATGATATAATACCTGTTCAACGTCGCCTAATACATATTTTAATGTAGGAGTCCATTTATTAATGTGCTATTAATAATTGTTTCATTTTTTTTAGGATAAATTGATAGGCTGTTGTTGTAACGTAGAAACTCCCAATATTCAATTTCAAAATTGTTAAATATAGTAGCTCCAAAAAGAACAAAAAAAAGATGACATCATCCTTGCATTTAGGCGGGAAAAAATTTATTATGAGAGAGACAAGTGGACAATGATGACGTCAACAATGTTTTGTTTTAGTAATAGTTAATAGATGTTTACAATATGAATAACAAAATTTATCAAAACATCATTGTTTTAGGTGGGACTTGACTCGAGAAAAAAAAAAAAAACAAAAGAGAGAATTCAATGGGATTACATACTCCATATAAAGTATCGTATTGGATCTAATAAAGTTCTATTCCTATAACATCAGTAACCGTTTTGAGGCTTTGACTAATGTTAGTAACTTATCAAAAAAGAAAAAAAAAATAGTCTTGTAGGTACTTGTTGGAATTGTCTTAGTGAATAAAATATTTTTATCACTAATATAATTTTGATTTATTGATACTTGTAGATATTTTTGTTCACTATTTATAAACTAACTTTGACTATAGATTTTGATAACGTATAAAGTTTATTATATATTTATTTATGTCATTACTGTAATACTTAATCATAAATTTCTTCCGTTTTTTTAGTTGACATCGTTTGATTTTTACACTATTCACACACTACACTTTGACTCGCTTTTGTGATTTATGAATACGATAAAATATAGTCACGTAAGATCTTGTTTGAATCGTCGCAATGTTTATTTTATTAATATCTACTATTTATAATTTATAATGTTGATAATTAGAGATATAGCCGTAAAAAACAGAGGAAGTAAATAATAAACGTCAAATTACACATTTATACAAAATTAGACGAAGAGGGATGCGGAGAGTAGAGTTTACACATAAAAGAGGAGCGAGTGATAGGAAAGCTATCTCTCTCTCCTGTCCGTCCAGCTGTGAAATGACAATGTTGTGTGCTAAGCTGATTAATTAAGTACAAGTATTAATAATAATAAAAAAATAAAAAAGATAACGATGAAGTGTTGGCGTACCAACGATGAAAACTGAAGATTACGGAGGAGTAGAAAAAAAAAGGGAAGAGAGAGAAGAAAGAAAAAAGAGTGAGTAGTGTCCCTTAAAAAAAAAAAAAAAAAAAAAAAAAAATGAGTAGTGGTAGTCGTAAAACAAGAGAGAGAGTTGTGATAAAATCGAGTGGCAACCAAGGGTTTGCAGGCTCAGCTTAGAGCCTTTCTTGATGCCTTGAACTTGAAAAAATTGTGGTATTTGAAGATTGTTGTAATTCCTTGGTATAATTTGAGATAAGATTGTTGTATTTGGATTTGGAATTGGAATGGATCCCTTTCATCTCTTATCTTTCATCATCGACTTTCGTAAAGGTAATTCTCCGATTTCATCGCCTTCTTTCTTTTTAAATTTTGCAATAAACTACTACTTGCAGCATCACTTTATTTTCAATTTTTTAATTAGCATGTGTGATGTGATTTCATCGATTTTTGCTGTCAAATTTCTTCAGATCTCCTTTTTCGATTTCATCCATTCAACTTGCTTATTTTGATTCATGTAAATAGCTTTTTCATCGATTCAATATCGTAATTCTCTAGGGTTTTGCGATTTTTATTCACTTCTGCAAACATGTCTTTTTTTCCTATTATGGAGTAAATCTTTCTAATTCTAAAAGTTTTGTTGATGCTTTTGAATGTCAACCATTGATATTGATCATGTTCCTCGCACAGGTTTTGGGTAGTCTCTGACAAAGGCTCCCCCCTTGATTTTCTTTTTTTCTTTTCGGAATTACGCTACTTGCAAGTCTTTTTTTTTTACTTCATATTCGTAAAGAATGAGCTTTTCCAAACAAGTTTCTCCAACCACTCAAACCAGCCTCACTTCGCCGGCCAAGGCTACCTCTCTTAATCCAAATGCTGCCGAATTTGTTCCCTTTTCCCTTCGAACGCCTTCCTCTGGTACTACTAGCAACATCGACGTAGCTGCCAAATTCCCTGCTTCTGGATCCTCTGGTAAACAGGTCCTCGATCGATCAGAGTCCTCTATTTCAACTAATTCTGATGAAGAGGCCCGCCAGTACTGGCAGCAGCAGCTGCCTGATGACATCACTCCAGACTTTAATGTCCTTGGAGAGGACGACCACCATGGACTTGGCAGCCTTTCACTTGCTGCCTTGTCATTGCATGCTGGTGGCAGCGCAACTGATGCAATTAGGTTTTCTGGCTCCTTGGGTAGTCCCTACAAGATGAATGAAACTCTCGAGTTTACTGCTCATCATACAAACGGTGCTGCACTTAGTGATAAGATGGGGTATCCTATTTCTGCATATGGAGATGATCCATCGTCAACTAGTTATCTACAGAGAACCAGTAAGCCTTGGGAAATGCAACTTCTCAGCGCTGACCATCACTTTGGGAATGCCAGAGATGGGAACTCTTTTGATGAAACTACAAGACGCACCAATCCTAATGATATAGCTACTGAAACTTCCATGCTAGAGAACAATGACATGAATCCTGTTGAGTTCCTCGTGTCACAGTTTCCAGGTTTTGCTGCTGAAAGCCTGGCCGAGGTATATTTTGCCAATGGCTGTGACCTGAATTTGACAGTTGAGATGCTAACTCAACTTGAGGTATGCTTGATTCTTCACCTCAAAGTAAACAATTCCTTTATTTATTGGTACTCAGTTGTTTTATCAAGCATTACCAAATACAATAATTGGGGGTCGTTTTGGCCTTGCTTACTTGGATGTGTCTGTTATTACATATTTGTGATAAGTCAAATGAAGTGGGAATTGGAAATTATGTTGTGAATCATATTGGGATTCTGTGCCCTTAATTCAGTGATCTTGTGTGAAATCTGAATTTCATTTCAACAGCTATGTCCTATCTAAATTACTGATGGCCTTTTAATGGTTAAAGTCAGATCTAGAAATAATTTCTATATCTGCCTGTTTCGATGTATCAAAATCGTTGGCTCTTTTTTTAGTTACAAAAATGTGATGTACAACAGTCATATCAGACCTTTTTTTTATCAGATCCAAAATGAATTTTAGATTTGCCTGTTTTGAGGTACCAAAACTGTTGGCCCTTTTACTGGTTATAACTTAATAGTTTGGTTAGATTTGGCTCATACTTTTACTATGTTTAGTGGTGAAAGTGGTATTAATATGCGTGATTGCTACATTGTTTTCTTTTTGAGTATTGTTTGACCAATGTTCATTTTTCTGATGACACTTGATAACAAAATTCCTGTTTGCAATTTGCCTTGGAATATTACATCCAAAATGCAATGACAATATTGCAAATTTCAGTAAGAATGAAGCAGAACAAAGAATAAGCATACGCAAGAATAAATAAGCTTTGGCCCGATTGGAATAGAGCATGTTTTCATTATGATTATGTGTGAATCACACCACTCACCACAAGGAATCTGCTGTACTACTTTTATTCAGCTGTAAACATTTTGGTTTAGTAGTTGCTTTCTATTCCATTATGTTTTGTGCCATCCTATTGCTTGATATCTAGTGATATTTTCCTACATTTATGATGCACTTTTTACCTATCATTGTAGCTTCAAGTTGATGGAGCTTTTAATCAAAATATGAATTTGAAGACCTTATCAGCTCCAAATCTGACATCAATGGATTTTCCTGCACTTCCTGTTCCAGACAATAAGACCAATCTGCAGAAATACACTGGAGATGAACTCCAGCAAAATGTTAATTCTTATGGATCCTCTGAAAAGGACAATCTGCTTTTGTTTAGATCCAATTCTTCCTTAAGTGCTAAAGGCGCCACTGATTTTGCTTCAGCTGTTCGTAAGTTATCACCCCAGGATCCTTGCTTGTGGAAGTACGACAGAAGTGGTTCAGCTGATATTGCTGTTGGTTCAAGTAGAAACTCCCATGCTCTTTCAGGCTCTTATCATACTGGTGCTGGAAGAAGTGCCTATAGTGATAGGATGCAGGGCCGTAGCTCTGCTCGAGCTGCTCCTGTTTGGCTTGAGACTGGAGAAGCAGTTGGTATTTCCTTCTACTCTTTTATTCCTTTTGGGTCCAAAGTAAATTTCTAATATTAACACTGATCAATGTTACAGGCAATTTATATACTGAAGTCCGTGAAGAAGCTCGTGATCATGCACGTATACGAAACGTGTATTTTGAACAGGTAAGCTTATGAGTAGGCAGTTTTTCTTTGCCATTGCCCTCTTGATTCTTGGAGACCTTATTTAGTGCTCCAAATCTCTCATATCTGAACTTTGGCATATCGAGAATCTTTGACAATCTATCTCGTGTTTGGCTGGAAATTTAGCAATTGTATATATGTATGGGTAAAGTTATGTGAATTTGATTTTTCTACCTGCCCTTAGGTTAGCGTCTCTTGAGTATGGAGTTTGTGCTTAATGTGGCAACTGCTACAGAGTGAAAATAATACTTCCTCCGTTCCAAATAAGTTGGCACGTTTTAACTTTTAACCTTATTCATAAACTTTACTTTGACTACCATTTGCTAATCATAGATATGAATAAATATAATCATGTGGGATTTTGTTAGATCCATTTCAATGTGTATTTAATTAAAATTTAATTTTTAGTACTTTACAATAGTATAATTAATGATAATTTCGATTGATGCATTGGCAAATGTGATAAAGAAACGTGTCAACTAATTTGGGACGGAGGAAGTAGAATTTATCAGCCTTTAATTGTGTAATGAGATGTCGTGAGGTAAATGCAATATGTGTTTGGTGTTAAATTATGTAATGCAATGATTATCGGCATATGCGGTTGGATGTGGAGTGATAATTGTCCATATGGTGCGACTTGTAAATAAAATTAATGTTCTTGTGCTGTGCACATTTCTGCCACATGCTTCCTATGCGGTCTTGTCTAAGAACTGCATCCTTGAGTATAGATGCATGCATATATTTTATTTTATTTTGTTGGGACTTTGTAGATGTCCGTGCTAACTTTGGGCAGTCTTTGTGTGAATCTCAATGTCATTATGGGCCTATGGGAGGCTGGCAGTTGTTGGGAATGGAAACATTTGGCTAAATTATTGATTAGTTGTCGGATCAACAGCGCAGGAGTAAGCTAAAACTAGGTGGCCACTTTGTTTTCAAATTATCAGTCTAGGATTTGTTAGAGCTTATAGGCTAGTTTTAGAAAGCTTTATCGTCTGTCATTATTAGAGGATTCAATCTACAACAAAATATGTATATAAAAAAAGGTTACTGCCTCTACCTTATTTTCAAGTTGATAAATCATTTGTTTTTAACATTCCTCTTGCTTATTTTGTTAGCTGAAACCTAATAACACGTTTTTAACATTTCTGAAGTGGGTGAGGAATAGGACTGTCGGGGTGGGGCAGGTTGTTTAAGGGCCTTGTGTTAGCTGAAACCTAATAACACTAGAATTTTGCTCACTGTTTTCACTAATGTTACTTCTTTTAACTCTTTTCTTGATTATTGTCATGATACACTATCTTTATTGATCAAGGTTTGTGTGTCTATCTAACGTGTCTATTCAGGCTCGTCAGGCTTACCTAATGGGAAACAAAGCATTAGCCAAGGAATTGAGTGTCAACGGGCAGCTACACAATATGAAAATGAAAGCAGCTCACAGCAAAGCACAGGAATCTATATATCGTCAGAGGTTTGTTGTGATGAATTCTTTTCGACTGGCTGTTGAATGGATTGATTTCTCTGCTAATCTAGCATGAGGTTTTTTGTGGAAGTGCTTGGTGATTGGTTAAAATTGGAGCGGTGACAAGGCTATGACATAGCTATTTAAAGAAAGTTTATATGAAGAGTATCTTGTCTTAATATTGTTTCACTTCTAATGCAGAATGATCAATTGGCAAATTGGTCTTTAACTTAGTCATTAACAAATGCCCAACTGGCTGGGGAGATACAGATACCTTCCCAGTTTTTTTCTTTCAAATTTTTTTATATGAGATATGCAACAGTGCTGCAGTTCTAATTTTGTGCTGTGAGCCTGAGAGTCACCAGTATCTATTTATGATTCTTTTTCAGCCTTTTGTTTCTTTGGGCAGGGGAATCGATGTGCTTTTTGATTTTTTGTATCATGGTCATTTCACTTTTATGCTTTTGTTTGATCTTCCTATGTTTTCTGACCTCAGTAAGGTATTCTGCAGAAACCCGATTAGCCCAGATCAGCAGGGTGGTGGCAGATGCCAGGGAAAGGTAATAGATCTGCATGGACTCCATGTGAGTGAAGCTATTCACGTGCTGAAGCAGGAGTTGAGTGTGTTGAGGAATGCAGCAAGGCTGGCTGAGCAGCGGTTACATGTTTATATATGTGTTGGAACTGGACACCATACCAGAGGAAGTCGTACTCCTGCCAGACTTCCTATTGCTGTCCAGCGCTACCTGCTTGAAGATGAGGGTCTAGAGTTCAGTGAACCGCAGCAAGGGATGCTTCGTGTTGTGCTATACTGAATTAGGGTAAAAATTTGTGTATGATTAGGATTTTTGTTGTTGACACACAAGAAGTCATCTGTCACTCTTTTAAGTCATCATTTTTGTGCATCTGTACATGGGAAGAAAAAGATTTAGTGCATATTCAGGAGAAAACAAAGGAAAAAAAAGGAGGGGGGGCAAAAACATAAGATATGAAAATGTGGATAGGTAAAGAGAGGAGAAAATGGCGGCAGGCATGTATCATTTTGGTTAGTGGCAGCAACATATTTTGGATGATATGGACAGTATTATCTGTTGCCCAATATATTGTAACAACCCCTCCCCCCCCCCCCTGCGGGAACCGCCTGCCAAAAAGAAGTGCTCTGAACCCCTCTCCCAGTAGGTCTCTCACATGTATCAAATAGAACTCATTCAAATTAGTTGAAATTGTTATAGTATATGCTCAATCCTTGTTTCGCGTAGTTTTACTTAAATGTAGCATGCAAATTTTATGCCCATTGCGATGTGCTAATTCAAACATAATCTCCAAATGCATCAACAGCATGAACACAACCATACATCGGCCTCACTTACAGTTCAATAGATCACTATGGAGATAACATCATACATGTATAGCCATATTACCCTTACTAAGAGTCATGATCATAATTATAGAGATTCTCTCTGAAACCAAGGTCGTTATAAATTAATAGGCGGCAGGATAAACTGTCATGCTTGTAATCAAATTAACTTTCTGGATCAGAGCTTATTATGCCTGCTCATTGCCAATTTGTTGAACCAACTGTATAAATGTACATGTACTGTACATCAAAAGTATGAACTTGCTAGCCTTTGCTTATTTTTGTTCATACAATTGTGTAGTTCAGTTCTATTTTTTACCCTTCTTTTGGGGGATGGGGGTATTGGAAATGAATACAATCACTTTCAAGTTCCTTCAAACTACTCCGTCCCAACATGCACTATAATACACATATATGTCCTATTCTCTTATTAGAAGCTCATAGACATTGCTGTTGTTATCCCCACTTACACGCTTCAACATTTCAAAACTTTTCCGGCTTCCTAGAAATTCAATGCGCTTGTACATCATGCAACCAAGGTCTGCTGTTCTCTCATTACTATAAATTGATCGGAGATGGTCAGCATGCCTTGAGTCAGTGTGAATTGCAACCTCTGTTTCACGATCGGACATATTTTCCTACAGAAAATGTCACAAGTCCCCATTCAAAAAAGGTAATATACAAGGATAAGGCTGATATTCAACCACCGCCACCTAAAAATTTGTACGTATGGAGTATTTAAGGTAGCTGTAAAAACTATGCAATAAATGATATTGAAGGGCCAAAGCATAATAAAAGATGAGGATTACTTAGGAAACAAGCATAAAAAGAAAAAAAGAGTTGAACACCACCATATGGTAAATGAACACATGATCAAGCTTCTAGGTATGATTTATTGTGGAGCTGCTATATTCCTATCACGACTAGAATCTAATGACGAAAAAGACGCAGCAATACTTGCCTGGTAGAAGGCATATATAAATTCCAGCAACTGCAGACAAGTAAATCCTGTATCACTAAAATATGTTCTTGAGGAAGGGCCCAACTCAGCAAACCTATCAACTGGATACAGTATAGTGAGGAAGTGATTTTTAAACACTAACTCATTTTCCTCACTGCAAAAGAGCATATGACAAAAGCTGTTAAAAGTAGATGAAAAGCAACCTTGGCCAGTAATACTCTAACTAAAGAACATTTCTATATCAAAATTACATATGAAAACATAATATGTTACATTATGATTTTCAGTAATAGCTACTATAACTTGCATCATCTTGCTAACATACATTTCCAGTATACCAGTAACTATTGCAGCACAACTTTAACATCATTTTGCTACAATCAAAATTAGAAAATTTCTTGACCTCTTTGTGACAGTAAATGTGTGTTGCGTGTGAGTGCTTGCACGAGCGTGTGTGTGTGTGTGTGTGTGTGTGTGTGAGAGAGAGAGAGAGAGAGAGGACCTACTCGCAACACACAAGTAGGGACCCGATTAGACATTTGATTTTAGTCCAATATAAGCTAACTAACAAAGCAACTAGAGTATCACTGGAAAATAATTCATGCAGTTTGGGAAATGCTGGTATGGAGTGGCACAACAACAACAAAGCCTTAGTCCCAAAATGATTTGGGGAAGTTGACTGATATCATCCAAAATAAAATCGAAAGGGCTAGTTTAAATAACCTTTCGGTAAGTGGTCGTAATAAATTTGAGAATGAAGCTTCAGATTCAACATGATCCCCTCCAACAGAAAGCCCATATTTTTGCATCTCAAAGTCATTTTTGGATGTAAGAGAGTCTGCATATACAGAAGCCCTAGAAGTTGGCTCAGAGATAGACCAGCAGATTGAGTCTAGAAGGCTGCTGGGGTTGATTGGACGCAAGGGTACTTGACACGACTGCAACCAAAAACAAAGCCTTTTCAGGTCACCTCAAAAAATAATACCCTGTATTCCTGTAACTTGATAACTAAATCCATGTTTGTGGAAGACTAAAAAAAAAAAAAACACATTGTTACCAAAAATACTGCTAAAAAACCTAACATTGTTCTCTTCATATACACGAAGTTTTGAATGTCAAACAGATCTCCAAATCATGGCCTTGAAAAAGTAGAGAGTAAAAAAGACGCGCAAATAGGAATTTCATGTTAAGGCCCACCTTTTGAATAGAGCTTTTTCAAGAAACCACTTTTATTATTGTTTACACAAAATCCACCCTTCATAATACTTTTCCTTGCCATTCACCACCTTCCTGTTAAAAATGTTTTAGAATGGAAATGAACAAGGCATAAGCCGAAGAGAATGAATACTGGTATTTTGTTTTCACAACCAAAAACTACCTTAAGAGGCCAAACATATCACTTTGAGAGATGTATCATGCTAATTACAAGTAACTCTGAAGAAAAATAATCAAAGAAAAAAAGAAAAATTGGGTATACCAACCAAGAGGACAGAGTATAATCAATAAGAAGAGCTGCATACATAGTCCCAATTCCTTTGAAAATCAAGATTGAGTATCTCTTAAAAGCCCCCTTCAGTTACTCTATCCCAAAGCAGATTGCATGGTAATATGGGTCTTGAAAAGAAAAAAATGGCTCCTTAGAAGTGAGACGATACATGAAGCCTTTCCTAAAAATGCACCACACGCCACAAAATCCAAACCACAACTTCTTGTTTGCAATAACCCCCAAAAAGCACATCCGCAGTAGCTATAATATAATAAAGGGGCGAACTATAAGCCCATGAACCCTGATGCGAAGCAAAACACTTTCTCCAGAGATAAAAAGCCATGAGTGTGATGAGATGCAAAAGGAAGGCATATGAGCCACAAAAGCTATTCGTCTTTCTAAAATTATAAAGGCATTATTGAAACATTTTTAACGAATCATGTATCTACAGATTCTACACTACGATATCATTAGCCTGAGATAAGTCATAAAATTGGACACAAAAAACTTACCATCATGGTATACTCCTAACTTGGGAGGCATCCAAAAATGAAAACTTAAAGAATTATTGATATAAAAAGAAAAAAAAAAAAAAAAAAGAATCGTGAATTGTAGAAATTTGGAAATAACAAGAGAAGCGGATACAAAAGACCAGCACCCCTCTTATAAGTCTTTACAAAATTTGATAAACTGACCATCTAAGATTTTGCTTGATGCAAAGGAATTTCAATTTTGTGGGTTGGAGGCCTTGGAGCCTTATTGAACCAAATTTGGATTCAAAGATGGATTGTCATACGTTTAAACAAATTAGAGGTGGCTGTGGCTGGATGCCTCTGGACCTAACCAAACCTTACTCACAACTTTCAATAGATTTTGTTGGGGGAAAGCCATCAACGGAAAAATACTCAACTATTGCTACTCAGAACCGATTATAAATCCTATAGGACCTATACAGCTCCCATATGTACCGGGACCCTCGGGATACTAAAAGACCTTAAATAGAAACTTAGCAACCTCGAAGTAATAGGGAAATTAGGTCAATATATGTAAAATAAAGAGAGAATAAGACTAGATGAATGAGAAAGAGTTTGAAAGTAGAATTGTTTTCAACAAGATTTTTTTATGTCTATATTCCTCATACTATACTATTTTTGTAGGGCTAAACCAAACTCCTCTTCGTTTTAAAAACGCCTTAAACACGATTTGACTTAAACATTCAAAAAAATAGAAACAAATGTATTTACTCCCACTCTTTCTATCAGACATTTTAATTATGAGAACCAAAAAATTTAATGTTTCGAGCTCCTTTGCTGCATCACCTGACTCAAACTCCCCTTGAATAAGAACTATAAGCCAAACACCAACCCCCCCCCCTCCCCTGTCCTCAATCTAAGTCAAATATCCACAAATGCACACTAATTAGCCCAAAATAGGAATTGTGATAAACACCATAAATACAATAGGTTTGAGACTCTACACACCTGCAGACGTCGGGCGCGCCGATTTCTAATACTGCATTTTGCAAGGTTCGCAGCCTGCATCCTTTCTTCTTGGCTTAGTCTATCACATATAGGAGTGTGCTCATTGCACTTTTCCTTACAAGCTTCCTATATAAAATTCAGAATAACAATATGTCAAATGAGCCAAGTAGCACAGATGTGGATACTGCCGTTTATAACATGAAAAAGTTCCATCACAGAGATTCACATTGCCATTTTCTGTTTGGAACACGAAAAAGACACTCACAGGGACCAACCTGGGTCTGCGAGCTTGATGGATATTTTTTGTGATAATTTTTAATAAAGCATATCTTTGCTTTCCGTGCTCCAATTGTAGGGTTTTTTTTTTCAAAAAATAAAATTAAATCCATAAGATCATCTTCAGCATTATTTATGATTATGCAATTATGAAAGACAGTATCTAATAGCTTTTCCCCATACAAGTTGGGATGTGATCAAAGATAATTGCTGGCTTTTTTGGCTGTGTTTTATAAACTGGGATTGGGAAGAGCATGAATGCATATATTACTGTTACAATTCCTAAGAAGGATTGCTCAGTCATAATAATGGATTTCTGGTCAATGCATACAAAATCATCACAAAAGCATTGGAGAGTATGGAGACTCGTTCAGGCGAGTTCTTACTGTCTCATTTCTGAGCCCCATTCACCACTGCTGGAAATAAAGTGTTAGACAAATACCTTCTCTTCACTTCGGTGATTAATATTCTTGGGAGATTGCTGAAGAGGGGCTTGTGGGCGGCGGCAGGGGTGGGGGGGGTACGGCAGGGAGATAGATTTCGGGTGTCACATTTGCAATATATTGATGACACTATCCTTTTCTTGAAAGGCAGTTTGGAAGATCTTTTATCACCTTTTCTCTTCACTTTGGTGATTAAAATTCTTGGGAGATTGTTGAAGAGGGGCTGGGGGTATGGTAAGGAGAGAGATTTCAGGTGTCACATTTGCAACATATTGATGACACTATCCTTTTCTTGGAAGGCAGTTTGGGACTTGGGTGACTGCAATCTAATAGGTGATCATGTAAAGTGAGCTTTACATTGTGCCTATTATAAAGGTCGAAACAATTCAGAATTCAAATGTGGTTTGCCTTGTGCCAAACCAACTGAAAATTGGATTCAGGTGTATTTAGATTTAGAGTTTTGTTTCTCTTTTAATTTGCCCCTACTTACCCACTTGAATACAGTCCATCATAGTGAGTACATTTAAATTCCTACATTCGAACCATTAATCACATAAAAAGTCAAAGAAAGCTATCAAGATTCGATCGTAATCTATAGGTGGTTAAATATTTGCAAAGCTTGACTAAAAGAAACAACACATTTCTTGTCAAAACAGATACCCTAATGGGTAAAGGAAGCACTTTTATTTTTCACCCTACTGTTTCTTCCCCACCAATATTACTTAAACTCGACTACCAGTGTCACACAATGTGTGTATGTGTGTGTGTCAAAATGTCAGAAATAAGAATAAGTCATTTATGAAAGTTTACAGTTGGGTCCAGAATAAGGTGTGAGTACTACATACTCATGTCACAGCAATTATATGATAGGAACTAGTACAGCCTGATTTCACCACAATCCCCGCCCCCTCACTAACTATGCTAACAGCCTGATTCACCATCAATTCGTACAATGCAGTAACAAACAATATAAACACAGCACCCATGGCTTCTTAAAAATGAATGGTTCATATCAAAATTCCATCAATATATTAATCAGCTATAAGGTATAAATTACCTGTCTTGCAGTTACTTGTTGCAGGTTTTCAAGCATCGCTCCCACGTATCTAGCCAGATCAGCAGACAATCCAACAAATCGTTGCATAGATCTCTCTTTAGATGTCTTCAGAACCCACATGGGCTGTAACATATTTTGCATGAAATCAATTTAGCACATGAGTCTATACCTAGGTTTCAAGAAATGTGTAACACACAGCCTTAAAACGGAAAATACACAATTTAAACTGCAACAACACATACGCTAATAATGTTATCACAGTGTCCAAGATATATTTGTATGGATGACCCCTCACAAACAACATAGCTTGCACCACAACCAACAAACCATTGATCAACAAGCACGGCACCTTCTCGAGTAGCCACGTCAACCACCTAAAATATGTCAGCATATGTTCATTAACATTGATCACTGAAGACATTAATTCCCTCTCCTAAAAGAATGAAAGAAGCATGTGTAGGGATCTAGGATAATGAAGTTAAGATATGAAAAATATCTATCAATCAATCAATCAAAGCTTTTATCCCATAAGTGGGGTCGGCTACATGAACCAAAAATGATTAACTCCCGCTGCCAGTCCCAAGCCTGGATAAAGGAGGAGGGTTATGGTAGGCCCGTGATAGCCAGTGTAAAACTTAGTCACATCCCATGATATGAGCCAAAATGATATTAAGGTATGAAAAATAGTATTTCCAAAATTGATTTGTGCCAGTAATGATATACTTGATAAATGAAAAGGTATAGAAGGTTTTAGGCTTCAAAATAAGTCAGAAATACAAGCAGAAAAAAGAATATGTAAGCATAATTCAAGATAAATGGGTTGTAAACAGTACATAATGGTGAAAAGTATCACATCGACCAACTCCTAAGGACCAAGGTGATGCCAAGATTAGATCTAGCAAAAACCAATTGCATCCAATTGCGGTTCATGGTTCCATGCACAAAATGGTTTTCCAAGAGCATACTACCTCTTTGTTCAGTCATAAATCAAGCAAATACATCTCGTACTTGAGGAATCAGGATCGATTAGGTCTTTTGAAGACTATTGTAATACTGCATTTCATTTTGAATTTGAACTGTTCATGAAGGAGAAAATGTCAACATGCATGTTAGATATTTTTGCAAGCTGTTTCAGGATTTTGGGGTTTGGGGCCCTCTGCCCAAATTCCATTAGACTTATCTTACATTTTAAGATTAATTTTCTAACTCATTTAGAGGAGGATCACACTAAGAAGGTGAAAGCTGGTTAGAGATAATTGCTTGGAGTGAGCAAAGACTGCATCTTTAGTGCTATGTATTCATAGTGCAAGGAGTGTTCTCCTCACAGAAGGCGGCGAAAAGGAGCTAGCTAACTGAATGATAAACCCTTATTGAAGGGTCATACTGTGAGTCAAATGTAATCCAATAGTAGCCAAGTTATCTACATATTGATAAAGGTAAGAGCAGAGAAGCAACAAAAAAGGTGAAAGATACCTTACAGCGGAGTTGAGCAGAAACACCCAAGTCAATGTATATAGAGTGGCCAAATAAATGAGACACTTTGTTGATATCTCCAGAACCAGAATGCAATTGGTTATGTCGGAATTGGTTTCGGTTCTGGTTCTGGTTCTGGCTTATCGAAACACAAGCATCCCTATCCCTGGGGATGCTGCAAACAGTATAGGGTAATTCATCTAACTTGACTGAAACAAACAAGTAGAAGAAAATATGGTTTAGAACGTTGAAATTGTGAATAAAAATAGAAAAAGAGCAGAGAAATGAAGGAATAACCATGATTGTTGACGGAATCAATAAACCATCCAAGAGTAACAACAAAAAGATGAGTATGGTTCAACGCATGTTCAAATTTGTGTCCCTCAAGGCTGTGAAGAAAGAGTCAAGAAGAAGCAAGAGTAGTGAATTCTCATTAACAAATAAGTAGAAAAACAAAAACAGAAAAAAAAAAAAAAAAAGGATATCTGGACCAGCAAGTGCGTGCAATTGGGGTGCAGATTAGGGCTGTATTTACCGCCTAATCTTTCAGTGGCTTCCATAACTTGCTTCCTTGCTTCTGTCAATTCAACATACTTGATTATTATCATTATCTGAGGCCATTAACAAAGAAAGAGGAGAAAAAAAAGACCTTTAGAAAGACCAGAGACGCAAATGACGAGGCCGGAAAAGGGAGCATCAGTCACGGATGTGAATGTGGATGCAGACGTGTCTCCTGCCATACCAATACCAATACGGCAATACCAAATATCCACTCCCAGTTATGCCTGCAAACTTCAAACTTCAGTCCACCGTAAAATTTTTAAACTGACCAGGGCCGGAGTGGGGAGTGGGACAATTGACATTTTATCAAGGTTTTTTTTTTTTTGAAAATTGTCAGTGCTCTTAAAGTTTTTATTTTTCTCACTCATCAAAAAATCAAATTATTTTTGGTAATCAACTACTACGTATTTGTGTTATTAATTCAATAGTGACATTAATGAGATTAATCTACATTATTATAAGCCTAACCATAGTTAACTAAAGTCAAATGACTAATATATGCTTGAAAATCAGATTTTCCTTTTTTTTTAACAATTAAATTATTTTTAAGAAAATATAAAAAAAAAAAAAAACCACCAACCACACTTTCCCCCAGCCACCAGCCACGCCCAGCCTCAATCCCCCTTCCCAAACCGCCGGCCGCGCCCATACCCTCCGGCGCTGGCGCCGCACGGACCACCAGCCCCCATTGAAATTTCAGCTCCAATGCCGACAAATCCCCAACAACCTCGTTGATCTCGACCTCGTCAGTTTACCTCGTCGATCTCGACAAATCCCCAATCACCACCCATCACTTCTTCCCCCACCACCCCCGCCCGCCAAGCCCCAACCTGCTCCCGACCGAAACCCTAACAGACCCATCAGCCGAAATCGAAGCAAAAACCCCAGCACCACCCTATGCAATATCATAAACCTCCTTATCATGCGCAATCAATTGAGTATCAACAGTTTCGCCAGTGGAATTTTCGACTTGAACGATTTGTTTTCGACGCTTTGATTTCGCTGGTGGTCAAAGAAGAGAGAATTGTCGAGATGTACCAGGGTGCTTCGTAGGGTTGTGGGTATAGGGATAGAGGTCTGGGGATTGTCGATTTTAGTGGATGTGGGTTTCGGGTTTCAGTCGACGGGGGGTTTGGGGTTGCTAGTTTCGGGTTGGGGGTTTCATGGGGAAGGGGTGGTTAAAAAGGGGAGGACTGGGAGAGGATTGGTCGGAAAATGGAGTGAAAAGGGAGGGGAATGAGAAGGGGGAGGGTGGTCGGAAAAGGAGGAGAAAGAGAGGTGGCCGGATTTAATGGAGGAAGGGGGAAAAAAAGTTAAAAAAAAAAAAAAAAAACTAACCCTATTTAAATATTTTAACCAAAATATATCATTAATACTATTGCTAATATATACTAATAATACATGAGTACCAAAGATAATTTGATTTTTTGACGTTTACCATTGAGAAAAATAATAACTTGAACAACACCATTCAGAATTTCCCTTTTCTTTAAAAAAAAAAAAAAAAAAAAAAAAAAAAAACCCTTTTATCAAGTTGATTAACCATAACTAGTTTTACTACTAGTATTTTTTTTCTTAGAAAAATATAGTTTAATAATTCCAACTTTACCCGATTTACTTTAAATAATCCCAATTTTTTATTATTTAGCAATTATCCCAATTTTCACCTACATTTTCTTCAATCCGAATTACCGGTTACCAGAAGAAAGGGTTAAATTTTAAAACAATTTATTGACACGTGTTGCGTGCTAATTGGTTCACCAAAATAAAAATAAATCAATTAAAAAAAAACCCAAAGGCCACCAGCTACCAAACGCTGGTGGCCACCCTTCCCCAACTCGGCCAACTGGCAAACTCCACCCCCAAACCGCCCTCTTCGACCCCCCAACCCCACTTTTCCTACCTCTCTCCCCGCACCAAAAACCCTCCCCTCATTCCCTTTGTTTGCATATTCCGGCAATTGGAGGATAGAGAAAGGGAGGGGACTGCGTTTTTTATGGTTTCGGGGGTGGGGGAGGTGTTTTTGAGGGTCGGGGTTGGTGTTACAGGTGGTTACGAGGGTGGGGGGAGGGGATGGGGACGGTTTCAGGGCCGTGGGCTTTGGCTATAGGTGGTTTCGAGTTTGATGGGTGGCGGTTTCGACGCAAGGGTTTTAGCTATGGTTGGTTTAGGGGGTGGGGAGAGGTAAAGGAGGCCAGTTTCGTAGGGGTAGGGCGGTTTCTTAGGAGGTTTTGGGGGCTGGGGCTAGGGCTAGGGAAAGGGTGGTTTGGGGTGAGTGGCCACCGCCAGTGGTTGTGGGCTAGTGTTGGCTTGGTTGTTTTCTTTTTTTTTTATTGAATTTTTTTTTTTTTGGAACCAATTACAACTTGACAGTGTCAAGTTTAGAGCTGTCAAAAGCTGACCCGACCCGAAAAATTTACCCGAACCCGATTATTAACCAACCTGTTTGAACCCGAAAAAGTGGTGATCCGAACCCGATATGACCCGACCTAAAACCAACCCTTGACCCGAGTTAACCCGAGTATTTGAGATCCGAACCTGGAGATAACCCGACCTGAATATAATCCGTAAATTATTGACCTGAATTGAACCCGACTTGAATCCGAGAATGACCCTAAAATCCGACCTATTATTCACACGACCCGAATGTAACCCGACCTAAACCCGACCCAAACCCGATAAGATGTATGACCCGACGTGACCCGAAGTTCAATTATAGGCTATAGTTCCCTATTATATTGCCGTATATATTGTTATATAGTCAAAGGAGATAATTAGCTTGATAATTATCCGCATATAGTTAGCTAGAGTTTAGCCTATGATGATTGACGAAGGCATGTGCATCGTACATATGCGGTTATTCTCTTAATGATAAGCAACTCTCAATCTTTCATTAAGAGCCAAATTATATTAATTGGCATAACCGCATAAGCTTGTCTATTATCATTCTAAAATCAATTATAGCCATAGATATAGTCTTTTTGGGGCCTATTCTGATAGAAAAAATTGGTTTTAATAATCTCAACTTTGACCGATTTTCTATAAATATAATCCCAACTTTTGATTTTTCTGGAATAATCCCAAATTATATAGGTATCTTCTTACAATAATCTGAACTTTTATTTTTGTTATGCATAATAGTCCCAAAAAGGATCAACAAAAATAACACTTCGGATTAATTTAGGAAGACACCAATATAAGATGGGATTATACAAGAATAATCAAAAGTTGGGATTATTTAAAGAAAATTGGTCAAAGTTGGGATTATTAAAACCAAATTTTCCATTCTAATAATAACTTAGCATATTATTTGCTCTCCGTTAATTTGCTTGACTAATTTCCTTAATTTTTTTCTAATCATTTTGACCTTGCTCGATTTGGAAGAGATACCCAAGAATTAGGATTGAATCATTTTTACTAGCTAAATAATAATTAGAGCAAATAATAACTTAGGTTAATGCCTTGAAATTTATTAGCTTTGTGAACGTTAATACATGAACTGTTAACAAAATGCCCCGAAAAATGTACCCGGACCCGATATGACTCGTGTTTCGGGGTTTTCTGAAGTGTCCTGCGGGAGAGTTACAATTTCAAGAATGCCCTTCGACCGCCTGTACCTGCAAAATCACAAAGACTCTGGTTGGGTGGAGCTCCGCCTCCGACGATCAAGTCAGTGATGTACGGGAGGAAGAAAGTGCGTAAAAGAGTAATTACTTCTCGCGTAATGGGAGGATTCCGCAATTAAGATTGCTCGGTTTTGGTGTAAAAGTCTTTATGATTGTATACAATGCCAATTGAATGCCCCATTAATGAGGATTCTCCACTATTTATAGTGGGGAGCATTGGTTCCCCATTTAGGGTCCCTAAGACACGTGTCAGCAGGGGATTGGAGCCCTGCTGACCAATGGCAAGGTGCCACGTGTCGCTCAGCCATTGGGCCACGTGGTTGGGGTAATTCTACCCCAAACATTTGCCCCTCTCAGGTGCTGACGTGGCAAGGTGCCACGTGGCACCTGAGAAGAGAGCTGACGAAAGATAAATATATATATATATATATATATATATATTTTTTTTTGAAACCCCTTCAGATTCTAACTGAAGGAAGAGGGAAAAGCAGAAGGGGAAGGGTCGCGCCCCTTCGCCTTCCGGGACAAACCCAATAAATAGGGGAGGAAGCACACGAAAGCTCATTTACAAACTTCGTGAAATTTCTTGAATTTTGAGAGCATCCGGCATTTGAGAGCATCTGGTACTTGAAATTCAGAGCACACGGAGATTTGATAGCTTACGAGCAGCCGGTTTTCAGACCGCCTGTGCAGTAGCAAGCAAGCAAAAGTTTTTCGAGAGGGTACCTCAGAGAACCCAGCCGGTATTCAAACCGTCTGTGTCTTCGCAAGCATCCCCAAGAAATTTCTTGAGGTTTTCAACACTCTTCTTTAGGTACCGTCTCTATTCTTTCTCGCTTTTCCATGTATTTCCGTTTGCGTCTTTTGCTTGCATTTTTGTTTACAAGTCCCATAGGTAGATGGACCCTTTATACCCATACCCGGACCATAGTTGTGAACTCAGCCGGTCAATTAGTACGGCTGAGTCTAGAACTGGATGCCGCCTTTGATCTTTGGAATTTCCCCTTTTCAACGCCTGTATCGACCGACTCCGTGTCTGTGTAGGACACCATGACCAGAATAAGGGGAACAACTATGGACCCCAATTACAGAGGCGGGGACTCAAACGAGTTATCGCCTGAAAATCAAGGCCCAGACGGGGAGGTTAAAGAACCATTCGGCGGTACCCCCGCCACCCCAAGCGATAGCATTCTAGGCTCCTACAACGAGGAGACCTCTCCGGCCGAGGAGGCTGAGCAGCCAGAAGCTGCCAATGATGCTCCCAACTCCCCATCCGGCTCTGATGACGGTCGGGTTGAAAGTAGTAGCTCCAGCTACTTAACCGTGTCAGAAGATAATGAGGAGGCGGAGAGGCCTTCGTGGCAAAGCAGAAACGACCCTCTCATGATCGCCGTCTCCTTGAAGGACCGCGCCCTCATGCGGTCTTCTCTACAAGACTTTATCACCAGGCGGCCGCTTGGTGAAGGATACAAGATGACCGTACCGGGGGAGTTCAGGACGGTTGTATGGGAAGATGTCCAGCCCAACGCTAACGGTTGGTTTGGATGCTATGAGGCGGCTTTCCTAGCCGGCGTCCGCTTCCCCCTTCACAACACGATCAAGGCCATACTTAGGGTGTATGGCTTAGGCGTTTGGCAACTCACCCCGAATTATTGGGTGAATATATTAGGGTACATCGCCGCCTGCGAGATGCAGGGTCTCAACCCCGGCTGGGAGGCGTTTGCCCATATGCACTACCTAAGCCGGAGCCCAGGCGGCTGGAGGGCCTGGTACACCCTGACCACTCACCCCCAATACATGATGACCTTGGACAAGCCGTCTAAATGGTCGGACTGGAAGAACCGGTTCTACCTGGTCAAGGCCCCGTCTGAGGTGGAAAACAGGGAGTACCGGACCTACAACCGGAAACCAGAGCTTATGGGGCAGAAGTGCCGGCTGCCCCCAGTTCCCGATAATGATAGGAGGGCCATTCTGGACTCCAGATTTTTTGAGTTGACCTCTACCTCTCTCTCAACCGGAGAGATAATAAGGGTACCCAAGAATTGGGTGCCCAAACACGAATTTTTCAAAGACGAGTGCTTCTTGTCCGCCTGTGGGCTTAGTAGAATGTTTAAGACCAAAGGTTACGAACCCTAGCGGTTAATTTGTTGTCGGCTGACCTTTTTCTCTTGATTGCAATGTAAGATTCATATTTCTGACCGGATGTACTTTCGTTTTGCAGAAGAAGCTAAGAAGATGCTGCCCTCAGCCAAGACACCCGCAAAAAAGGCTTCAGATATCCGAAAGGAGAATCTGGAGAAGAAACTTGCCGCTCAGGCGGCTAAAAAGGTTAGCCCGCCTGACCTTCTCTTTGTGTTGGCTTTGATGCAATTTTAGCTAGTTATTCATCTAACCTCTTGTGGTCTTGTTTCAGGATGGTGTTATTCCCCGTTCTTTACAAAAACAGATCCGGCAAAGGGCGTCTGTTGAAGAACCGGCACTCAAGGTGCCGAGAACTGCTTCTACCGACCAGGCTACTACCAGCGGTAAATCAATAAAGACCCCGGGCAGGTCTAACACTGAGAAGGCCTTAGAGGCCACTCCAATAAGGACCGCAACCGGTCCATCTGCTGCTGGAAGCCAAAAGGCTTCCCAAAAAGGTACAAACCCTTTCGATCTCACATTACTCGACATACCCATGCGGGTAAAATCGTACTCCTCTTCGCAGCCGGGAGATTCTCCGATCAGCCGGTTGTCCGTTGGTGGGGCATACGCAGCATTCTCACCGTCTGTTTCTGGTGCAGATAACTCACCACACTGGCCGGACGCTGCTCAATACGCCCGGGCCATGCTGAAAGCCGTCCCCC